TTATGGTGAGAGATGTCGAGGCGAAAACTGGCAAACTCCCCCACCTTTCTTCGCCCTACCCCATGACATTCATACGTTCACTCCTCGCCGCTTCCCCGTCTTGCCTTTCCTCCTCTGTGTTGTGTGGTTGTGTTGCATGTGGGTTGGTGTGTGTGTGTGGTTTGTTTGGGTGTGTGTTGTTGTTGTTTTTTGGTCGTGGTGTGTGTTGGTGGTGGTGTTTTGTTTGTGTTGTGGATGTTTTGTTTGTGGGTTGTGTTTTTGGGGTTGGGTGTTGTGTTGTGGGTTGTTGTGTTGGAGTTGGTGGTGCTTTTGGGTGGGTGTGGGTTGGGTGGGTTTGTGTGTTTGTTGTGTGTTTGTTTGTGGGTTTTGGGTGTTGTGTGTTTTTTCTGTTTGTTTGTTGTGTGTTGGGTTTGTTTGTGTTGGGGTGTTGTGTTTTGTGGTTGGTTGTTGTGGTGTGTGTTTGTTCGTGTGTGTGTGTGGTTGTGTGGTGGTGTGTGTTTGTGGTTGTGTTGGGTGGTGGTTTTGTTGTTTGGTGTGTGTGGGTGGTGTTTGGTTGGTTGGGTGGTTTTTTGGTTGTTTTTGGTTTTTGGTGTTGGTTGTCGGTTGTTTTTGTGTGGGTGGTTTTTGTTTGTTTGTTTTGTGTGTGTGTTTGTGTTGTGGTTGTGGGTTGGTTTTGTGTGGGTTTTGGTTGTTGTTTTTGGGTGTGTTGGTGGGGTTTTTGTGTTTCTTGGTGGTTTGTTGTTTTTTGTGTTGTGTGTTGTTCTGTTTTTTGTTTTTGGTTGGTGTTTTTGTGTGGGTTTTTGGGGTGTTGGGTTGTGTGGTGGGGTGGGTTTGGTTGTGTTTTGTTTTGGTTGGTGTCTGTGGGTTGTGTGTTGTTTTGTGTGGGTGGTGTTGTTGTTTTGGGTTGTGTGGTGTTTGTGTGTGGTGTGGTGCTGTTTGTTTTGTGTGTTTGGGTGTGTTGGTGTGGTTGGGGTGTGGGTGGTTGGTGTGTGGTGGTTGGGTGGGTTGGGTTTTTGTGTGTGTGGTGTGGTGGGGTTGTTGTTTTGTGGGGGGTGTTGTTGTGGGTTTGGTTTTGTTGTTTTGTGGTTGGTTTTTGGGGGTGGTTGTTTTGTTTGTGTTGTTGTTGTGGGGTTTGTGCGGTTTGGTGGGTCTGGTGGGTGTGGGTTTGTGCTGTGGGTGGTGTGTGTGGTGTGTGGTGTGTGGGGTGTTGTGTTGGTTGGTGTTGTGTGGTGTTGTCTGTTTGTGGTTGGGTTGGGTATGGGTTTGTGTGGTGTGTGTTTGTTTGTTGTTTGTGGTTGGTGTGGGTGTTGTTGGGGTGTTTTTTGGTTGGTGGTGGTGGGTTGTGGTTGCGGTCTTTTTGGTGTGTTTGTGTGTGGTGTTGGTGTCTGGGTTTGTGGGGTGGTTCGTTGGGTTGGTTGTGTTTGTTCGGTAAATAATATCAGTTTTTGGAGTGTTTGCTCTGAAATTTTTAATCCCTTACCAAAAGTAGAGAAAAAACGTTTTTTAAGTTGGAAAGTGCTTGAATTTGTCTGAGTGGATTTTATGTTTTGTGTTTGTGTTGTAGCTGGTAAGTGATAGGTGCTTGGTGTTAATACTGACTTAAGAGTGCAGATATGATGCATGTTTGGTCTTGGGAGGCAGGTTGCTCCAATGTTTGCCAGGAGAATTTAGATATGTCTAGATGTACTGGTTCGTAGGCGAAAGTTGGAGGTTGGTTTAAGGGCCGATTTGTAGTAGTTAGGAGTGGTGCCGAGTTGTGTGAATTATTGTTGGATGGGTTATTGTTTTTAAAGTGCATGATAAGCTGTACTGATTATATTATTATTTGTGCATTTTCCGAAAAATTGTTTATGTATTATTTTGATTTGTGAACTGAATGTCTTGATACTTGTATTTGAGAGTGTTCTTTTCTTTGGATCTTTCTAGAACTATATCGCCACAATGGCCGCGCTCAAAGATAGTATGTAGTGGTGATTTTGGAATGCCCTCGTCCCGGCCGCCACAGGTATGCATTCCAATTTTGCAAACATAAAGAATTCAATGTAAGTGCACATACAATTTATTTTTCAGCCGATGGATTTTCAATGTACTGCATAAAATCCTTGGAATTTCGACCCTGCTTGGCGGATGTAAGTATTATAGTGCAACTACATGCATTGAAATCGTGAACAGATGGAAATAACCGTGTATCATAGATTTTTGCTGGTCATTTTAATTTGGTCAATTATTTTGTAGAAGTTTTGAATAAATGTTTAAAAGTATCAATCCAAATTGGCTGATAACTTTCAAAAGATTCTTTTGTCACTATGTAACTATCAGATACTTAAGCATTTTGTTCAAACTAGTAGCGGTTGCACTAATATGAAGATATAACTCTTAGGCATACCTCTTTCAGCTATATCGGCGTTGTATGGCTGTCACTTGCTGTCTGTGCATCTTGAGCCGCTGATAGTCTGGTTTTTCCTTCTTCCATGTGCTGCAGTGCTGGCAGAGATATTTAGATATGCAAAGTTTCAAGAAAATGGTGAGTTTTCTCTATTTACATGCACAGTTATTATATGCATTTAAATACTTATGTCATGTAAACATTCGCTTAGAGCAAACGGGATATTGCAGGGCGCAGGAGGGAAGAGTCAGGAGGAGGATTAGGGAGGGAAGAGTTTAGGGCAGGGCTAGGACAAGATCGGATGTAGGGCTTGGGTAGGGCTTAGTCAAATCTAGGGCAGGGGTTGGATTCGGCCAAGGCAGGGCTAGCACAGAACTAGATCAGGATCAGGGAAGGATAAAGTCTTGGTACGAATACTGTCAGAAATGGGTAAGGCAGGGGCGGGATCTGGGCAGGATCAGGGCTGAAAAAATCCAAGATCAAGAAAGGTTCAGACCTTGAACTTGGCACTGTCGGAGCAGGATGAGAGCAGAATAAGAGCAGGATCAGATTTCAGTTCAAGGACAGGATCAGGCTAGGGAAGGCTGCGTTGCTTCACATATCTTCCCTTTGTGATGGAAAGGATCTTACCAACATATCAAATTGATGAATGTCTTTCTACACTGAAAAAATGACTTATAACGAGTGATATTGACATCAGCTGCTGCTGACTATCGTGGCTCTTTGGCTGATTGATTTTATTTCTTTACCGACGGTGATCTCTCAGTGCGAATAACTTCTTTATTACAGTAGTCTCTAAATTCGAATTAGTGATTTGCAGGTGGCCATACTAAAAAGTATAATAACTCGCAACAAATACTGGATATTGTGTGGACTATGAACTAAAAATGAGCTAGAAATAATCCAATATCGTATAATTCATTTTCAGACGTTTTTGCCGACCCTTTGGCCAGAACTGCAGTGGGAGTTGCTAATCAACTGCTCACATTCCCACGTATTCAATTAGGGTTGCTTTCATGTTAATGATGATTTCTCCCAGTAAATCAAGTAATGCTTGTGTTTAAAGATTTTGAGAATGTTCCAAATTTCCTAACTGCAACACCCTTCTTAATTTATTGATAACATAATGCTGAGCCTGATTGGTAGCTACAATTTGCTGCTGAACGATACAGTTATATTTTTCTTAAAAACAGCTATTGGATCAGCCCCCATTGAAGTACAAGAAACAACGTCTACCAATCAATTGGTAAGTTTCCAGTGGTTAGTTCTTCTGACAGTTGCTGTAAATTGTGATGGCCCACTTTCACTAAATCGTGAATATATTTATAACATGTTTAGATTGACCTTCTAGACTTTGTGGGTGGAGGGTCATCAGTAATAAAGTTTACCGACGAAGACATGGATGAAGAGAAGTTTAGATGCTATGTCACCTATAGATAGACAATTTTACCGTTAAACCATGGATTCTTTGGGCCAACTGAAAATCTACCGACAAACTCATGAAGACTTGGGGGAGGGGTGTAACACCCCGACGTAATAAATTATCGATGTAAAACTTTCGACAGGGAAATATTTAAATTTATTTATTACAACCAATATTCTTCTATCAAATTGCTATGTTCTTTTAAATAAGAATTGTCAAAGTTGAATCTTGAAGAAGGAGTATTATAAGAAGATGTCAGGACTTTATTAACACAAATGAGCTGAAAAATCACAACATAAACATTTCGCATTCTGGCAAAATAAAAGCATAAAGTTTAAAGAAAAATACTCAATATACATGCAACGCTTTGTTCGTCTGCATAAATGATGAAGAGTAAAGTTGCAGAAAGTTGATATCATAAGAGTATGTTTTTAGAATTTGACTTAAATCCGAGTTATGACCACTTCAGTACAGGCTTTTCCAATAAAATTACTTTAATTTGATCTCTCGTCTCAGTCCATGAACAAGGCAAAAACAACAACGATACATTAGGAAAACCTGAACACCTAGCAATAGACTTTACTGATTTTGCATTCTAACAAGTATTTAATGATATCTATTCAGGGTGCGTGGTGAAATTGTTCCAAATCTAAAATTGGATTTTATGTCGTCACAATTAGGAACTTTAGTCTCTCGCAGGGCTGAGATGAAATGTGTGCATGGCCAAGGCCTGTTTTTTTCACGACAAGGATGCAATGAAATGAAAGGGGGCTTCATCAAAGAGGCAGTTAATTCGATATTGACATTGCTCAAGAATCGAGAAGAGCACTTCCGTTTTTTACCATGATTTCAACAATTATTTAATATGTTTATGAATTTATTTTTGAAGATTGGGTTATTACTGATGATCTGTTTCTTTGCCAGGCTGTAAAAGTCATAACTTGGTTGACAGTGATAGTGTCCGTCATTGCGATGTTTGTTGCCTGTTATCTGGCAGTTCTTTTTGTCAAATCAGTATCGGAGAAAGCCACTGGAAAATATCATTGAAAAGGCTCGGTACTAAGCAAAAAAAAACTGGAAAACACGATACAATCTTAATCACCATGTTACAAACAATTGTTTTTGGGGAAAGTGGGTAAATATAGCTAGATTTCTGTATTACTATGATGATTTCATTTAAGTTTTTTTCTGAAACGAGGTCTGTTTCTTCTTGTGAGCTTTTTACAAGTATTCTCAATTGAGCTTTTGCTTCTTGCTGGTGAGACTATTTTGAGTAATGTAGACGAATTGCAAAAAGGAAGCTACAATGACCTGCCCTAGATGCCATGCCTCCTTTCTAACCCAAGATTTTTACAGGCATACAGGCCCGTAGCCAATGCCACCCTGGAGCAAGAGAATACCAGCTGTTTGCCAACACGAAAAATTTGTCTCTATATTATTTTTACGGGTTTTTTTGCCGTTTGTATTGGATTGCCAGAACAATTTTAGTCAAGTTAATACCAACAAAAGGAAAATTATTTATTAGGGTCTCTTACTATCCATATAGGACTTGAGATGGTGTCTGGCGCTAAAAAAACTTTCACTGCTAAGCAAAAACTAGGAAAGAAAAATTCCTGAAACATTTATTTCCGATTTTAGTTATAGATTTATCTTTATATTTAGTTATAGATTTATCTATTCTAGCGGGGATCCATTTGAGATGGTTGGGGCTGATAATTAGAGGGCTATAAAGAGCGGTTACCGCAATGCATTTGCATATAGGCCATATACGCCCGCGCATAGCCCGCGTGCGGCGTGCTGATTTTTTTGTTTCGTTCTACGACCGCTTTGACTGTTGGTCTTACGGCTCCTCCGCACTATTCCTTCTTGAATCTTGACTTAAAGTTACATCAGGTACAAAATGTCGGTGGTGAGGTTCTCTATTGCGGTGGGCCTCGTGGCCGTTTGTTTATACTTCCTAAAGATATATTTTGGTGGTGGTGTTTGCAGAGATGAAACAAGGCTTGATGGTAAAACAGTTGTCATTACTGGTGGAAATACTGGCATTGGAAAAGAAACAGCGATAGATCTTGCAAAGCGTGGTGCAAAGGTCATAATTGGATGCAGGAACAAAGAGAAAAGCCAAGCAGCTCTTGCCGATATAAAGCAAGAAAGCGGTAGTGATCTTGTTTATCTGAAGATTTTAGATCTTGCTTCGTTTTCTTCAATCAAAGCATTTGCTGATGAGATCATCAGATCTGAAACAAGGCTTGACATTCTTATAAACAATGCAGGGATAATGATGTGCCCATTTACTAAGACAAACGAAGGTTTTGAGTCACAGTTCGGGGTAAACCATCTTGGTCATTTTCTGTTAACCAACCTGCTGTTAGATTTGATAAAGAAATCTTCCCCAAGTCGCATTATTAATGTTTCATCGAAAGCACACTCATATGTCCCTTCGATAAATTTTGAAACACTTCACGACGAAGAGAGCTACTCTCGAATAACATCGTATGGAATAAGTAAACTTGCTAATGTATTGTTTACAAGAGAATTGCACAAGAGATTGACAGGCACGGGTGTGTCAACCTTCTCCCTTCATCCAGGTGCTGTCAACACAGAACTGACAAGGCATATTGTTGGAGACATTGGGGAGCTTTTTCTCATACCAATAAGAAAGATTTTCATGAAAGATTCAAAGGAAGGTGCACAAACTACAATTTGCTGTGCTGTTTCAAATTATGTTTTGCCGCATTCAGGGGAATATTTTGCAGACTGTGTAAGAAAAGAATCATCTACAGCCGGAAATAATTTGACTTTAGCTAAAAATCTCTGGGACTATAGTGCTAGGGTAACTAAAATTGAATAAAGTTGCTATCTATATATCACTAATGATAGCATCATGATTTTTGAATGAGGACTTTATATTTCAGGATTTGAATGGATTCAAATATTGTGTTGGATTTGAATTGCAGCAGTATTTCTGAAGATACTATAATTTCTGACCTTTTTTACTTACAGATGTTCTACAACTTGTTTTTTGCCTAGCAATGTTGTCTCCCAGTTTGCATTTGTTGCTACCTAGCTTTCAAAGGTAGTTTGGTCATATCAGACTCTTGCTCAAACCTCAGACTCTTGTATGTGGGGTGTGAGGCCCTAACCACTAAACCATTTTCACACCTAATTTGGGAGTTTGGGTGTGATAGATCTCTTCATGACACTTAAAGAATTTTCAAATTTTTAATTTTTGTTGAATAAGGAGTTTGGGTATGTTTTCGTTCAAGCCTCTGGGGGTTTCTGGGGCAAGCAATGATGCCAGAGCACAGGGCCATTGGGGGTAGCAGCAGGTTTTGTGTGTCTTGTGTTGAGCCTATTGTATTAAACGCTGCCCTCTATTAAACGTTTATTTTGTAATAAACGCTGTGGCATTCTTTAGAGGAAATATGGTATGTTCGAAATTGGACAGAAGTTATGGGTAAGAGCCTGTGCTCAAGGTGCCTTATATCAGCCAATTTGTAACAAATTTAATTAATTTTGCATATTTTTAGGTATTCCATGATACTCTTTCAGGTTATGGGATCAAAAGAGAAAAATTCTGAAAATGAATTTTTGTGACATCATCACTTTGGTACTCTATACTAAATACCCTAAAAAATCCATATTTTCATTGGAAGTTTGATTGAAAGCCACAATGGGCACCCGGGTAGCACCGTCACTAGAGAAAATGGCACAGATGTTGTAACTCTCTTTTATTAGATTTTGCTAAAATATCACAGAATACCTGTCCAAGTATCGTTTCAGACTAGTATATCAATATTATCTTTGCAAGGGTAAACTGATTCTGTTTACACTTACACATACACAAATGTGACCCTACCCCCCCCCCCCATCACTTGGCCATTATGGATTATCATGTAATGTAGCTTTTGGCAATCTGCCAATACCACTATCTTATATAAACAATTAGGAGTGAAACCTGACAGAGCAGATAACTGCAGAGACTGAAAAGTTTTAAAGATGGCCAAACTTGTTTATCTCGATCAATCCAAGTTATTTACATCAACCACAGATAAAGGGATTTAGTAAAGGTGGAGAGGAGGAGGGGAGGAAGGAGGCAAAGAGAAAAGACGCCTTTTTCTTCATTTTCCCCTGCAGCTCCTCAATAGCCTCTGTGAAGGAAAGTATTAAGGTAATAGAGGTATGTGTTGTAGGAAACTCGGGAAAAACAGTTTGTTACTCCTCAGACATCTCATTGCAAAATCTACAAAATGGTCACGCTTTCAACAAAACGAATTATGCTGCACGATATCACAAGGAAAATTATTACAAGCTTTGCTAGAACCAATTTTCATCTGAAACAATTTACACCTACTGGACTAAACATTCTAATACAACTATCGATTTGCTATCAAAAATTCATACTACTTCTCGAAACTATTAGCAGAATAAACTGTTCTCGTGTTTAACATCTTATCTTATGTTAAACGAAGAATAAACACTTTCAACCATTAACAAAATACAGTAAATCCCTGCAAACAACACCTGACAAACATACAGACAGTCTTTCTCTGATTAAGCACCTTTGTGTTAAATCCCCTCAGGCTTTCGTCGGAAAGGCGTGCGATCGCATGCGCACGCCCTGGCACACGCCTACAGCTTTCGAGGAGTGCAAAATGTCACACGCCTTTTTTTATTCTGAGAGCGAAATTCTCTATCAATGATTTGTTTTGTTCGTTTCGAGATGGGTTTAAATGTAAATATTTCCTTGGTACAATTACTTAGTGCCACTTCAAAAAAGGCTTAACACCTTGTCAGGATTGCGAACTAAATAGAAAATTTTGAAATAATTATAGGACTAATCTACAGTGGAATCCCGATAATATGAAACCCGGCTAAGGGCCCTTTTTCAACCTGACAAATTTTCAGATTTTTATTCTAAATGGTATTGTCCCTGAACCATTTATTTCTATGAGGAGGCCTACATGCAAGGCATCATCAACGAAGTTATCATCACTGTAGACCCTAAAGACCCTAATGCAATAACCTTTGAACCTGGGATCCTCATGTGCAACCTGCAACAAGATCTAGGAGCATCTAGCCTGTATGTAGCCCCTCTTGTTTCAATCAGGTCACATTGTTCAGCGATGTGATCGAAATATTAGGAGCTAGTCGCATGCTAAGAGCAAACTCTTGAAAAAGCAGGTTCTTCTTAGCAGGGATTTACTGTTTGATATGAAGTCACATCACAACCCAGAAAATAACACAGGACTTCCCCCTCGTTTAACCCTAAAAACGTGTACATATTTCTACAACTCCCAGTTTTAAGTAACAATATCTTAATTGCTCAAGTTGCTCAGCAACCTTAGTAATGGATTCTATGAAAACTTGAATCTAGGACTCCCAGCAGCTTATATATTGCACAAGCCACAAAAAACGAAATTTAGAGCCACATAAAAGGAAATTTAGAGTCACCCGCATGTATATGGAGAGGAGAGGATATGGGGAAGATAATCTCTACAGTCTCTAAGAAAGTGTCTATCCGATGCAATGGCTCTATCGAGTAATATTAAACACTCAAAGCTCACAACCGCTCACAAATTTTGTTGATTTTATGAATTAGTTAAATTTTCTCTCCCAATTAGCATGCAGTATTTCCATTATAGGTGAAACCTCTTAGGCGCAAAACACTAGGATCAGTTATATCATCTTGTTGGAACTTTGCAAAAAATGAAAAAAGGAATTTTTATCAGTTTCACCAAGTTAGTTCCCACTTCCGACATGGTGTTGGAACTCGTAAAGCGAAAGAACAATTTTCATTTGACAAAAAACATTAATACACAGCAGTCACTTCTTCAAAACTCCTTCTTGGCATCTTTTCTAAAACGCGCCTGACGTTCTCGGCATGTTCTGCAACACGCTCTTTTCTGATGCCACTGCGGTTACCACTGCTTTTGCCCGTGTTTGAAGCATTGCTCTCGGTCCTTACAACTGGAGCTTTTTCGCTCTCTTCTTCCAGATATGAGCCATCATGATCGCTGAAAGTCAAGTACATTTTAGAAAAAAACAATAATGTTTTGAGATCATCTAGACTCTTGTCGCCATGAGTTGGTGTACTAGTCTAATCTTGATTTTTTACCCTCTCGTTTTATTTTAAAGTTTGAAGAAGAGGCGATAAAAGTCGAGGTTTGCCAAAAAAAGCGCGAAAATGATTTGCTGACGCCATTTCAACATTGTCGCAGTTTCTAGCGTTGTTTGGTTTACATGCGACAATTTTTGCAAATATTTTGAAGTTTGGTTGCAGAATGTGAAAAGTGAGTTCCGTTCATTTTATAACTGTATTTTCCAGGCAGGGTAAAATATTGTTTTATTTGTTGCCTTCTGTTTTTGATATAAACACAACTGCAATACTTCTGCAGCTCCGTTAAACGTTGAACATTAGGACTTCGAGGAAAAATTTGTAAGTTATTCAACATCTCTTGAAACAAAGGAATTTTTTCCGACCGCTTTCATTTTCCACACGTCGCCATAGTGGTGCACCCCCAGAAATCCACCCAGGATCGCCTGTAAAGCAATAAGTGTACGGGAAGAAAAAATCTAGAGGGGCTTCCCTACAAAAGTTCTATTGTTTACCAAAAACTTTTGCCAGACTAAGGGAAAATTATTATCTGATTGGGGTTGATTTAAAAAAAAAAATCCAAACGTTGGGGGGCTACAGTATCCTCCCCAGCCCAATGGCTTATACCCCCTCTAAACATCCCCTTTTACAGTATTTAAAGTATTAGATGGACATAAATATATGTAATTAAATTACAAAATAGTTGACTGTTCTGTTCTTTGCTGCAAATTAAACAAATTCTTACACGTCTTTAATAGCGAGTAGATCAATAGGCAAAGCCTATTGAGCCGGGTTATGAAGAAGCAGTGTTTCACACTGTCATTAAAATTGTAAAACTAAAACAATCGGCATATCCTTTACTTAGATTGTAATATACCACTACTTTGACTTGCTGTAAAATTTGATTTGACAAAAGCTATTTGGCAGTATATATCTAAAAATAGCAGGTGTAATGTCCCGATTTCCTTTGTCGAAAATATTCAAGAAATAATTGCTGGTGGTGAGACATATGGTTTTGAAAAAGCAAACATTTTGAGATATACTAAAACTTTTCGTCTAGAATAATTATCAAAAATGTTAACTCAGAAAATTGATATATACATCCAGCTATGAATTGGATCGAAATGCGAGCACATTGCAGGAACAAACAAACTTTAACTTCGAACCCAACCAGCTATTTTATTCATTTAGCTATTAAAACCATTTCTATTCATTTCTTTGAGATAACAATGTATATACAATAGTGTTGAAAAACTGTTTGTTATACAAAGTTCTTAGTTCTTGTTTTACATCCCCGGCGCCAATATCAATAATCTCCCAACAAGACTAAAGATTTTGATAGGTTCTTTCTCTTAGGCACATAAAACTTTCTATACTATGAAACAATAGCCAGGTTTCTTCCAAATACTTCGTTCGTATGTCAAGACAGTATCAATCCAATTAACCTTATCTTTCTACCAATCTTAGTCAGTCTACTTATCTTATAAGACTAAACCTTCCAAGAATATTGCGTCTATAATGTAGACAGAGAAACAACTGGTTCAATCGAGCTTATGACTCACCCATTAACGTCTTCGTATATGGCCAGCGACATATATCGGTATAACTCTGCAGTCGATGGCGTTTTCTGTTGATCCGCACTTTTTGATTTAATACTGGTGAACTTTGGTGAAGGGCTGAATACAGGGTCAGCACTTTGGAATTTTGTTCGATTCTGTGATTGCTGAATTCCTGTAAAATACATGTTATGAAATCATTTATAATAGCATTTGTATCATTAATACACCATTAAACTGTAATATAGTTGCAGGAAAATAACACTGTCTTTGTGAAAACCATGTTGACAAAACCTTGAATACTCAAACTCATATTTTCAGTTAAGTTGCAATTCATGATAAAATCTTAAACAAATGGAAAGTGGACGGGTACCTTTCTTGGTGTCTCTTGCTTCATTTCTTATAACCGGCGTTGAAATACAATGCTTGTAAAACTCCATTTTCTCCTTTTCAAACCCTTCTCTCTAAAAAAATTCAAACACCAAAATGCCCAACTTTAGAAAAAGTTTACGAAATTAAGGGAGTTGATGTCAAGGTGTCAACAACTACAAGGATGTCACACGGGTACAGGATAAAAAGGCACTGTTAATTAACTGTTTAAGTAATATGAATTAGCTTGAAAACCGTTTTATACAAACAGGTAATGCATAATCAAGGGTTAAGACCACAACAACTTCAGAAAAGGTATCAATTCCTTCCAATTTAACTTCCCTTTGTTAAGATTAACAGCAACATCAGAAATAGTATTTATCTGGCCAATGGTCCAAAAACTCAAAAGCCTCCTACAGAAACGAAGGAAGCGTGGCATTTCCTTGGTATGGCATTTCAAATTTTTGATGTGGCATTCATCAAAAGCTGCTCAAATTTTGTCAGGACTCGGATTAACAAAAGATGTAATTGTAAGGAAGTGAGATTACAAAAGTGTTCCGTTTTCGTTATCCATATTCCCAGATTAATCAATTGGCTACGGTTTCCTACCATCATTTGGTTGCTTTTGAGGGCGAGATCAGATATCAAAGTCGAGGTTGGGAATCTTAGAAAAGTAATATGGAAATTCTTGAAATTCTGTGAACAACTTTATAATTATGCTTTACCAAATATGTATTAAGTGTTTAAATATGTTTGCTTTAGTATAACAAACAACTAATCTAAACAAATGAAGGTTTCTACCAGCTTCGACGTGTTAGGCAAATTGAAATAACATTGAGAGACATCCTTTTCTCAGGCACCCAATTATTTTCGCTGATCAGCCCTTTTATCTTGCGGTTTAATTTCTACCCTCAAAATATGAAATCAGGTAGACGCATCACATTGTCTGTAAGTATGCGTCCTGGCTTTAAACAATAGGAATACAATCTATCGTTGCCGTAAATCCGTAACCACAATATCTTCACAATTGTACCTTACAGTATACAGGTTGTAACAGAGACATGACCCAAGCAAAATCCATTTGATGTCACTTTATTCAAACATTTGAAGCTAGCACTATTTCATCTACTATTTTTGACTACTTGAGCACAAACTTGATGCCAATTGGTCGTGCAAAGTATTTATATAGATGTAGACTTAATCAGGGGCGGCGCCAGCCACTAACAAAATTAGGCCACGCCAGAAAAGGCCTGTTTACCAGCAATGAACGCCAGTTTTGCCAATAAGAAAAGCCCATGACCAACTTTTCGTTACGTAAAGGCAGGTTCAAAATCATAGGATAACATCACGAAAAATACACTGCCAAAATATTACCCTTCCTAAACCTTTTCTCATCGAATAAACCGATCCAGCCGAGAATTGGGGGGGGGCGTGTCCCCCAGTTACCCCCCCCCCCCCGTTGGGCCACTTAATACTGGACTTTATAATCTTCATTCAAGATCTTGGTCACTTAAGACAATCTGAATTGAATAAAGGGACCAGACTTCATGTGACAAAACCGCCCTAGGAGTACATATGGCTTTGTGGTAAAAACCAATATAACTTATAAATGGAGCATGAATATAGGTTTCTGAGGGATAGCAAAATTGCTTACGTCTTGAGCTAGATTCAAGGCTAGTTCCGTGGCTACTTTTCTTTCATTCAACAGTTTTTCCCGTTCCTTCCTTAATTTCTGCTCTCGTTCTTTGATAGTATCATCGCCCTGTAGAAGAGAAATTTCCCATCAAAACACGAAAGTGCAAAATCAGATCTTTGGGTAGGGAATTCTAAGAGATGCATTAAGAACCTGAACAAATCGAATATATGAAAGTCATTCAGCTCAAGGAAAGATATCACTAAATGTCTTCCATACTGAAAAGATACCCTATTTGGTTTCTTATGATTGCTGTTATATATAATTATGATACTTCGCATAAGGCACCAAATGAGCACAAAGCGAACTTGTCCTCCTACGTGCACATCATTATACAAAAAAGCTTACAAGAAATTAACCTTGCAAATTAAAAGCAATGCATAAAACTTCGATCAATTAAACAAGAAGGCTGTTTAGTACAAAAATTATAGATAAGCCATCATCGGAGAAATTTCCCTGAAAACGTCGTTCTATAATCTTTAAAAAAGAAAGTGCTTACCCTTAAATATGTCTCTATTCGCTCCATCATGGTGTCATCTTGTAATGACTGTAAGAAAAGAAATCAGGAAATGACAAAGCTGACTAGCTGGGTGCAAATGGATAGCTCGCTAATAGTGGCATCAAAACAATTGAAAAGTGGAAACAGCTAGCAACTTTAAACGTGTTTATTTGCAAAGCCAGTTTGATGAGAAATATTCAGGCTTGATGGCAGGCCTATTGTTGAGTAAATCAGAAGAGGAAAAACCGGATGTAGAATGAAGACAAAAAGATTTTTTGATGAAGGAAAACATGCATAAAATCAGTTTGCCATACCTTTAATAGTTGCTCTTGCTTGGAAATGATTGATCTGTAATCGTCGATTTGTTCTTTCATTGAAGCAATCTGCTGAGACGATGCTTCAGATTCTACCTGGCTATCATTGTCTATTGGCGAAGAGCCTAGGGTATAAAGACATTCATACCGTGAGAGGCATTTTAAGCTGTTCGAGCTGCCTGAAGACAACGACTATAGCGACTTTTCTATACGCCGACCACGATTAAAGTGACTTTTCTATACGACGACGACGATTATAGTAACTTTTCTATACGACGACCACGATTATAGTGACTTTTCTATACGCCGACGACAATTATAGTGACCTTACTATACGACGACCACGATTAAAGTGACTTTTCTATACGACGACGACAATTATAGTGACTTTTCTATACGACGACCACGATTATAGTGACTTTTCTATACGCCGACGACAATTAAAGTGACTTTTCTATACGCCGAAGACGATTATCGTGACTTTTCTATACGCCGACGACTATTATAGTGACCTTTCTATACGCCGACGACGATTAAAGTGACTTTTCTATACGCCGAAGACGATTATCGTGACTTTTCTATACGCCGAAGACGATTATCGTGACTTTTCTATACGCCGACGACGATTAAAGTGACTTTTCTATACGATGACGACGATTATAGTGACCTTGCTATACGACGACGACGATTATAGTGACCTTTCTATACGACGACCACGATTATAGTAACTTTTCTATACGACGACGACGATTATAGTTCAAAAATAGCATCATTAAATCTTTAGTAAAATTGAACACAGATCAGAATCAGGAAACAGATGAAGCAACTAGCCACGATGGTATGGTTTAGCACCAGCTTTGGGTCTATATTTGTCACCTCCTTAAATGAATGAAGGCGAGAAAATAAAAATCGCTATACTTTGAATCCTCTTTAAAAGCACGGGTTTGATGAAACAATGTTGATTCCTTCAGTAGAAATGTTTATTCTTGCAATTTTACTTATATTGTCACAGACAATCATGCAATGTTGATATTAATTATAGAATGTAATTGGGGAGTCAACATATTTTAAAAAAAATTTAAAGATCTGTTAAGGTGTTCGAAAGATTTCGGTAAGGACAAAGGCTATACAGAAAAAAGGATAAGAATCTTTCTTGTGCAATATCCTTGTATAGATGTGCGTTGCTGATAAATTTATTCACCTTTTGATGAATTTTGTTCCAGTTTTTCTTTTAGTTGTTGCCATGCCACTCTAAAATGGCTTTTTACATCTAAAACAAAGAAGGAAAGTAATCTAAAAAACATGCAAACTTACACCAATAACTTTGAGGTGGTATAAACAGGCTTGAAGATTGGAGTTTGTCACCAAACTTCTGGAAATATGGTTGAGGAAAGACAACAACAAAATACAATCGGTATGTGGCTGGCAACCCTTTAAAAGTATTTATAAAGAAATGAGAGTAGCAATAGATAAATTCTGCAGGTCTTTGATAAATCAAATCTGAAACTAATAGCAAATCAAATTCAAAAGATATCCAAAGAATTCGGAAGGCTGGGAAAGGGCAAGGTTTGAGGTGAGCAAATAGTAATTTCAATTTGGAAATGATAATATTTGCATAATATGGACGATTGTGGTTGTTTTGACAAATTGTCGAGAGAAAACATAAGACACACCAATTGATCACTGCAAAACATCACAATTTCTCTCCACACAGCAAAAATTTACTACAAAACGATTGAGTTTTAGTCATGAGACCTGAATACATTCAAGACAGGGCCTCATTGCATCAAATTTTGTCAAAATCTGTCAAATTACTCCGATAAAGATCTTTGTATAGAGGGCCTGGAAGCTAGAGATTTGTCAAATTAATCTGATAGATAATGTTCCTTTAAGTATGTACAAAAAGTGGTAGAAGCTGACAATACCCTCTCCTACAACGTGGAACGGCATTTGGAAATGGCCATCATCCAGCAATGGTTTTTCATCAGTGTATTCCTAAAATAAAAATTGTTTACTAAATACTGGCTGCCTCCTTCAATATCAGCCATGTGCAACTTTGTCCAAGTGCATGTTGTACTTTTCCTTGAATATGGGCCGCATTTGCAAAGGATTTAGGGAAGGCTGAAAAGCATTAACTGGCCATTTAAATCAGTTTTCAATCACCCAAGTGACAAACGACAAATATTCATTTACCGAAAATATAGTTGATAGGAAAAAATACCCTGGATTTATTGTTATTTTAACAGGAATATTGTGAGTAGGGGAGAGGTACATAAGGAAAATTATCACATCTTAATTTCAAAACAGCCTCAAGAACATTTACACAGCTCTTTCTAGAAATCAAAAGAATAAAGATCGAGAAATCGAGAAATGAATAGATTTTGTCGATATAAGTAAAATCAGAAGAAACATATGAATAACACTTAAAAGTAACAAGATATTGCTAAAATATTTATAAGCGATAATTCTGCATAATGCTTAGACCAAATACAATAAAAAATAAAAGACACATATTTACTTCACTCTGAGAGCATTTCTCATAAAACGCTGCAAAAAACCCAGAGTTATTTACAAAGTATTACAAAGTTAAGATTATTGGCACATAATTCTACACGACGATCATTTATTAGGTTAAACGATTGAATCGGGCTTAATCAAAACTCACTTCATTTCCGTTCTTGCAATCGACTGTTTTCTGTGCTACTAACGAAGACAGTTCTTTTTGAATATCTGCTAAGTACTCCCGTAGTAGGGTGATTTCCAGGGTGAGTTCCTGTGAATGAAAATTCGTTAACAATAGATAAAGATCCTATTGTTAGAGATAAACTGGAGATACCCATGGCAAAATCATATGTTCGTCCTTGTTGTAAACATAAGAATTATAGTCACGTGTCACCACGGACACATCCGGCTTATAAGGTGCTTTGATGTGTCAATATTCAGTGGCTGTTCAGTAGTGCCATTGATATTATCGGTTGATAAAGACATCAGAAATGGTCATTTGAACTTAAGTTGCATTATAAATAACTGTTAGGCTGCATACAAAGTAGTATTTTCCTGCCTTTACAACCTCTATACACAACCAGAATACAATAATCCTATGGTTAGCTCTATTTCTACAACCTACCTGGTGTTTTTCTTCATAATTTGAGATAATACGTTGATACATTTTTTCTTCATCTCTGAGAATCAAAAGATAATTAATTGATTTTGGTGATGGCAATGAGTCCTGTAATAGTAACACTTCAAAAAAACTTCATCAACATATTTATTTATGTACGCTATATGGTGCATAGAACAGGAAGATTCTAAGTAGAATGTACAGCATTGTCTATATGGCACCGAGCACTTTACGAGACCGGTAAACAGTTATTTTCATTATTCATAAATAAATATACTATGTTTAGAAACTTACTATGATCCGGCAATTACTCTTTTTAGGAGAAGCAAGTTGATCGAATTATTGAAAATACGAAATAGCAAACATGGCCTAGAGAAGAACAATTCAGAAAACGCGCTTGTTCTATTTAGGCAAAAAACCATTCTAATAAGGCTTTTACTATGACCACCAAACAGTCAACAAATGTATGTTTATGCAATCTCACTTTGGTGCCATGACCCGCATATATCCACATACAAAGCAGAAGCTTTTTTATACCTATAGAACTTACTTTCCACCTGTTTTCCATAGTTTTCTTTTGCCATCAGCTCTCTGTATTGAATTCAATACTTCCATCCCCATTCTTTTCTCCAATGTTTTATCAGTTAATAGCTAGAAAAGGCATCAATTGAGCTTTATCAACCTAGCCAAACTGGTGCATATTGTAAACACTTCAGATATTAATTACAACGAAGCAGCTGTTCCAACAGAGTATGGATTACTTTCCGTTTTATCTTCGAGATAAAACTCTAGCAATTCATTCATCGAAGACAAATCTCAATTCATCCAATACTAATGCATTAACTGACTTTTCTATTTTCCTTCAGCTACCTACCACGACGCAAGGCTTAAACAATTTTCACTGTTCCTCATCCTCGTGAATGTAGCTACATCAGGCAAAATTAAAAACGGATCGCAAATATCATAGCAGCTATATAACCCTTACACTAATCAGATACCTTAAAAGAAAACTTCAAAAGTACTATATACCATGCCATATGTCTGCTAGTTTGATCATATTACCATGCCAAACGAGAAGACATATTTAATATGGTGTCTGGGAATTGTGAAATGGTGTCTGGGAATTGTGAAATTTGTGGCGTAGCAAGAAATTTCTTTGTTCTTTGGCAAATAGTATTCTCTGCATTCATAAACATATGATCTTGATAAAAGCCGAGTATACAATATGAAAAGTTATGATTATATCTGTCTTTAAAAAACACCAGCTTTTTTCTAATAGAGTTGCTGGACATAAAAAAGGCTACATGATTCAGTGAGTGGCAGCAAATGTGTTGGCAGGACGCCATTTTGGAATCATTGGCTAGTGCAATCTACCTGATGAAGCCTTTCCTTAAGTTTATGCATTTCTTTTTCCCTGCGCTTTGATTCGTGAATAAACTGTTTGTGTTTATGTTGCATGTCACTTCGCATCTTTTTCATCTGAAACACGAAATCAGCTGTTAAAATCTTTTACAGTTGAAGTTAAGGAACACTTTGCACATGCCCTGAACTTGCTGGCTTTTAATGCTTGGAGATCCTAGCCCAAAATGCTGGTCTAAAAACGACTAAACCTGCCATCAGGTAGAGAACTCTGGTTTGATGCAATGTACATAAAATTAAAGAGAACACTGTCCAGAAATTTTACAAAAAAGGTACTGGAATAGGTTGACACTGTCATCCTCCTTCCGTTTCTCTAATTAGGAAGGAGAACATACGAGGAGATCAAAGACGAACAACTGAATTTCTTAATCTAATGCACTGCTTATCATAATAAAAAATGGCTCCAACTGGAAGTGTAGTACAGCTGATAATAATATCTCGAGTTTTCATATACATTGATAGAGCAAAATGAAGGGAATTTCCTATTTCCTGTGTCACTATATCATTACACTGCAGTAAAATCCACAGATACGTCTTAGTTCAAATGCATATATTTATATACTTTTTAACCGTGACCTACAAATCGTTCTCAAGGATGTCAAGTTCATTTTCGTGATTGCATAGCGTTGACCTAACTGCCTTACTTTTTAACAGTTCCTTGCCACAAAAGCGATGCTTTGGACAATAGGCGCATCCCAAAAGGAACACAGACATCAAGCATAATCCCCTGTCACTTCTAAAAGCACCCAGTGTAATAAAAAGATTCAAAATCTTAATAGAGATTAACTGTTATGATATTGAACAAAATGCACTCTACTTGAATGCAGATTAATGGCAACAACCAGTATTGTTCTTGTATGATTGGTGAACAAACAGTCACTTGGTGATTGACAATAGTCTTTTTGGACGTTGTAAATACCTGGTACTGTGTTTATGAAGCTTAAACCAAAAGTATAAACTCCGGCAAATAACACCATGTGACATTGTTTTTGGATAGAACATGTTTTATTCATCTTGGTCATCTTGTTGCATGTTATTTAAGTTGTTTTTTGAAGATGATTCACGAAATTTGAGTTCCATCGAACATTTGGCAAACGCAGTAACTGCAGAAAGCTGTGCAGCACCACTTGTTTGCTACAAATGTTTCGACATTTTTTTCAATCAATAAAACATCGTCCAACAATTTCTGACAAACATTGCTGAATAACGTTTTATAGATGTCTGATTCGTCAGGTCAGCCTTTCACTTTCATTATCAAAATGAGACCAATCATTTCAAAACAGGTCCTAAGTCGACTAGATAAAAAATGTTTACATTTTTTTCTTTGTCGACAAAAGGAGCCTTGGAAAAACCTTCAAAATAAATTGCTACGAAATACTAGCACCTGTTACCTAGGAACCAGGCTCCGAATAACCACATTTTCCTATCGTAAGAAAAAAATATGCACTGGTCCATTTACCACGTCAAAATCAAACTACATAATCAACTTGTGTAAAACTCACCTCTTCGCGCTCCAACTTTCTCTCCTGTTGCAACAGCTTAAACTGCTCTGTAAGCCTCTTTTCTCTCATTTGGCTTACACATATCTCACGTTTAGCAGCCTCAAGTTCCTCCTATGGAGACAGGCATTGATATTATACAGAGCAAAAAAAGGAGACACTGTTATGCATATTTCAATTGCCTTGCAGACGAGAAACGTAAAACTGAAGTTGATGTTGCTACTTTCAAACATAACAATACCACTACAAAGTCGATTCTCATGGCCAAATCTACTCAAATTTCTCGATATACAGATATTGCCACAAGATGAAAATGACAAGTAAATTTCTCGAGGTTTCCGAAATCATATTGCCTTAAGACATCAGTCACTGGGACCTTTTGTCCCTTGGTGAAAATATTCTGCTCGGTGGGTAAGGCTTCTTTTTATAGCACCCCTTTCAATAAGAAGTCATGAATCAAAGGTGTCTTCTCTAATATACTTTGTAAATAGATCAAAGACTGTCCGTAAACGGATTTCTACGTGTCATTAAAATAAACACATATCGATGTTCCACGAGGAAGGTCGTGTGATCTCACTATGATTCTATATACTTTATGAATTGATAGCCGTCTTAGGAAAACCGGGTATTCACATCTCCCTTCGTATGGGGTCGTCATAACCATATGCTCAAAGACAATTTCAGAATAGGAATATCGAAGCTCTTGAATGGCGTTTACAAGTAAAACATGGTTTATCATGGGTCATACGCTTGAGCTAAAGGGACTGATAGGTAGAGCGATGATACTTGCAAACAAAACCAACTTGAAATCCGCGTGAACATGAATCTCAATATTCATAGAAACTATCTGCTAAGCTTAACGTTGTTAACAGTGATACCTTTAATCGGCTTTGTGACTGCAACAAAGCATCGTTGTCTACCTCAGAGCGGACATGCCTGTGAAGGCAAAAAGGAACATTATCTCTCCCGATTACGCATGCAGAGTGAGAAAACCCAATTCAACACAGACTGCAATGTACACCACTATCAAATTTCATTTGAGTAATTCAAATACACTATATATCCACCAGGCAAGATTGCCTAATTTTTTAGGAGGCTGTGGCTAAACCTAATTACAACGCTTACAGCGTAAAACTTAAGGAATATTCACAATGTTAAAATATAGTAATTTGAAAAGTCAAAAGCTATTTGCTGTGTAACTTTCATTCAAAAGTGAACAAAGAGAGGGCTACTTAATCTCGTTTTTCTAGTTTATTCAAATCTATTTGTCCACAAAATGAGAATGTTTTAGGCAATTGCTCCTTTTCGATAATGGAGGAAGTTCGTAACTTTTAGAATATCACATATTTAGCTTCTCCCGAGTCAGGTTTCTTTTGTATGTTTTGCATGCATGTTTACTAACTTCCTTGAAAGTTACGATTGCATGAGACCACTGTTTTGATAACAGCCCTTCTTTCTTTTACTTGGCAGAGAGGTGATTTTATAGGAATTTTTGGCTTCGAGCTAATAATCTGAAAAACATTCAGACGGTCCCAAGAATGAAAAAAGAGTTGGTTTCACCCAAAACAGGCTGAGATCTATAGTAAAAGATTTTATTCCTTTGCTAAAAGGCCAATTGCATTCAGTTTCACTCCTCTAACGTGCTTCCTTAACAATTCATTCACTTCACTTTCAATACTGCAACACACCAGTCATGTTTTTCTTTCAGCTATTTAACACATCATCATCAAATGCCATATATATCTTTCTGTCGGTTTCAAAGTACAACTGTAATTATAATTAGCCAACTGATTTCTAATGCCCCCTTCCAATAATTGTCAACCTGTACAATAGTTTCTTTATAATGGTGTTCTGAATGGGAAGCAATACAGTGGGCAGCCCCCCCCCCCCCAATTAGAACCATAAACTTACTTAGCCTCGAGGTCATCCCTAGCTTTCATCTGCTGTTTTTGAGCCTTTAGAAGATCGTATGCCACATTGATAAGCCGAGACAGATCAAAACGTGCATCTGTTTCTCTGCCTGCAATAACACCCTTGGGAAAGAGAGTTTGAAAGCCAAGCGCCATGAATTCCTAGAATAATATGTGAGAATTTCGTCATTAGGGTTGAAATAGAAGCATGGGTAAAGCAGACAAACCAATCGCAAGAATCAATCGTTTCGAAATGTTTTTGAAAAATCAAAAAAGTGTTAAAGAGTTTGTGAATAAAGATACGGTCACAATAGCTGTCTGCTCGACGGACTCCAAGGAGTGCTTGCGGAGAAAATTCGATGAAAATCTAGCAAATAAGAAACACAGCAATGCGACCAGAATGAACAACAACAAATACACGTAAATTAATGAAGGCTAATATTTCGAATATTAAAAGAGTTTTTTTGTCAAATTACAGTTATTTTTATCCAAAAAACATGGTTCAAACGCTATTTGCAGTGAATTGCCCCTCGGTTAATGGCATTCGTAGCAAGGACTAGATTCTACACTTTTTCTTGCTGCAAATGACATGAATCCTGTAATGTCAGGACCTAATTGCTGTATTTGTTAAATTTTAGGTTAAAAAGGACTGAAATTTGCAGTGTAACTGTGGAGTGTCATAGAATACGAACGCAGGAACTTATAGAAACACATACTTAACGGGAAGGCTTTGCAAAACATACATTTGGACAACACTGGGACCAAGACACACTACACAGGGAAAAAATGCGGAGTAATAGAAAAAATCCCTTTGTGGTGATATAAAATGCTGAATGATCCCTTCCACCCTCTTTATATCTTACAAACACAATGCTGTCAACTCCTTCCTGATACCAGTCATGGGCAGGCAGTGAGAAAGCCATATCATATTATATTCCTCTTTCACTGATTGAAACAGATGGCATTCTGTTTGGAAGGAATCTGTAACTTAGCAACATATTAGCCATTCATTAACAACTAGAGGAAAATTGAAATATAAATTGGACTTCCTTGAAGGGAAAACCTCCTTGTACAAATCAATGAAATTGAAATGCTAGCAACAAGCTAGTGGCACCCAATAAGAATTAAATTCATCATATGGTCTGTAATACTTGGCCCTATTAATACTTAGGTTAAAACCAAAAGTTGTTTGACATGGTGGAGTATTCTTCTGGCACTTTGCCCAAATTTCCAGACAAGACAATGGGGCCTCAATATAAAACAACAGAAATGGGAGATTATAGGAAGTTCTTTTGAATATGACAAGGAAAAACTTTTGGAGAGCAACTTTCATGACTGATAAAAGACACATAAACAAAAGAGCAGAGAAAACGGGAAAATTACATGAAAATGGAATGATTGCTGTTAATCCCACATCATATTTATTTGATTATACAGGGCATTCATAACATGTTAATTCAAACAGTGCTTACAACAAAAGTTTGAATACCTGATTAACCTTTTAAAAAGTAATCTAAAAGAATCTAAAATGTCAATCAAAGTCAGCCATGCTAAAAAATATGCAAACAGGTCCTTTGTCTGTACAGCTGTACATTAGTAACCGAGATAAAGGATATAAATAAACAAACTGCAATGGCAAGTTATTCACAGATGACTAGATGTGTTGTTCTCCCTTGCAGTCAATGCTCAGATCAAAAAATTGTCTTTTTGAAATTAGTATATACTGAAAACTTCATATAGTTTGGACGCCACGGTTATGATTTACTATGTATTGAAAATCTTGATATTTCGAAAGTTCATTTCTAAAATATCAGTGAAATTTAAAGAAAAAGCTAAATTTTGAAAATTGTTATTTGTAGCCTGCTTGGCTCTCTCTTCACAAACTAACTTCAACATGGAGATTCCAATTTTATGATCTTTTTGGCATATGGAGATATAAAATTGACATTGCTAACTCAAAACTAAGAACAATATGAAGGTTACAAGATGAATGGTATGTTCAATGGAAGACTAAATGAAACACACCAGGCAGTATTGAAATTAATCTAACAGCAACGGAAATTTTCTGATGAGGATTTTTTTTGGTTTCATCTTCACAATTGAAATGGTAGCATTCACAGATAAATACATCACAAATAAATATATTCATTAAATAAAAAATTCAAATAGGCAAATTGAACTCCAGTGGTGATTATAGAGAGAACTAAATGTTAGCTTCAAAAGCATTTTTTAAAGATATTTGATCTGAGATATCTTAAAGTTATCAGGTTCTCTTGCCTTGGGTAAATCAGAGAAAAATAGTTTTAAAGAAATCAAAGCTCCTTGTACAAAAATCTGATGCTTTAATAGGCAGATATGGTTAGGACTTGGAAACAATGTTGCATGTTCCTTTGATAACACTAGTTTTGTTTCTACCTTTAGATAAAAGGAAACACATTTTGCCAAAATGTTAGCTGTAAATCTAATGAAAATACTGATTCTCTCTTTTATCTTTCAAACCTCTTATGACCTATGAACACCGCTTGAATGTTTGAATCTTTGCTTCAAATGTTGTGACAGGGAATTGGTGCTATATTCTATTGAAAGAATAACTACTGCTAAAAATGAAATTCAAGGTTTAAAGGTTAGATTACTTAATAAGGTACAAATTTATCTTCTGCAAATGCTAACAATGAAAACACCAGAGAGGACATGAATTACAAACTGATCTTTTAGGTCTAAATCAGTAATTAAATTTACTTGCCACCATGCCAAAGAAGATAAATAAGACAAGTTTTCCCCTACAAAACTTTACTTTTACAGATTTCAAGATAAAGGTGATTTGCAGTAATGTGGTTTTACACTGCATGTATTTGCACCTTCCACATGAAATATTCATTGCCTTATGGATTTCTAATGTTTCGTTTCATGAATTATTCAATTCTCCTTCCACACCTTAAGATAAACTATTATATGTTTTATCACACAATTGTAGCAAAATTACTATGTTGCTAAGAAACTATTTAAGGTAAACAGGATGTGCTTAAATTGGAATCTTCTGTACAGCTTTTCTGTACGCAAATTTGTTTAGGAAATAGTCTCGCCCGATTTTCCAATTAATAAAGTTAAAGAAGATGCTAAATTCAGGAACATTCAGCAACCTAGTCAAACACTGCATTTTCAAGTCATAAAATAAAAATCACCACCGACAAAACCAGCATTTTATCGGGAAACCAATGTTTGTTTTTCTCAATTTCCAATGTTTCTATACATACCAGGTATGTACACTTTAATTAAGTACTTTTAGTAGTTCTGCGGCGATTGAGACAAAAGCAAGCTAATTTTTCGGTTAAAGGGTGAATGTATAAACCTCTAACGACAAAGTAACATTTTGCGTGACTCTGTGCCCGCTACTTGCATTGAATTTGTACCTCAAGATTACCACAGAGCACCTCTTGTCAGGTTAGAGTACCTTGTCCAGGCGCCTTTATAGAAACAATAAAATATGGATTTATGAATACCTGATTCAAAAACCGTAGCCTGCTATCAACGTTGTTTCTTGTACAAAACTTCTCATCCTGCTCTCCAAGATGCGGCGGAGTGTTAAAAATATCCATGCCATTTAGTGCATGCACATCCTCCTTATCTCCAGTAAACAAACTTGGCCTAGCATGATATACTTGTTGGCTTGAAGTAAACGCTGTCAAGTCCCAATCAGTGACTAAATCGTTGTTATTGAATTCATTCATATTTATCGTGCAGTTTCTGGTCTTCCTGTCACCAGGCAATAGCACAGAATGGCCAACTGCGATTATGGTAGACGCGCTAATTCGTTTCCCTCGATTTCTTCGTTTACAAAAGCAAACTTGTGCGCCAGTGCGCCTGATTGGAAACATTAGGTTCCAGACTCCTATCATGTTAAAGAACTCATAGGGTTGAAAGATACTGTTGAGATTGCAGCACACTAATTCTAGGGAACAATATTCGTTTTTCAATGATGAATTATCTTGGATACAGAAATCTCTCTTGGATACAGAAAAAGTGTCTTAAAAAGGTACCTATCTCTCTAATCGTCTCAAATAGATTTATTTGGTTGCTTACTCAAGAAGATGAGAAATTCTTGATTTTTTTTACTCAATTTATCACAAAACGTTTTAAAACAAGAAATTCCTATCATTGAATATGGCCTTAATGTGATTTCTTAGTTTCTGTTTTTAGTAAAAAATCTTTCATTGCTTTTTATTTCTAGCACATCCTGTTACTGGCAAATTTGTTATTTTGCTTCCAGTTCTAGTTCTGGCAGTACAGAACAAAAGTGTCTTTGAAAAAAGCTAACATTTTAAAACACACAATGTTTTTCGTATGATATTCTACAGCGCAAAAATGTAGTAAAAATATTGATCGACAACACTTAGCTACAAAATACATGTACACAGTCGTGGAGCAAAGTACTGTCTTCTGCAAAGCTTCAATTTCAAGCAGTTAGAAAGCAAAATTTCTGTATCCATGTGCCAGGGCCGTAAATCCCGGGGGGGACGGGGGGGACTGGACCCCCCCAAAAATCTTTAGCAAAACGATTTTTTTGAAAAATTATCGTCATTTTCTTTTAAAGAAGGAATCCCTGGTAACTGGGTTAGAACCGAATTAAGTTTTCATGTGTTCTTGCAACAAGCCTCAGCCACCATGGCATGGTGTCAAGCGCAAGTTGACTAGTGTTGATGGCAGTTATTTATGTTTGCAGAGTGGTGTCGAGTCAGTGACGATGCCCATGTAGGGGATTAGCCCCAAATATCACCCCTTGAATAAATCTCAAAAAAATGTAATCCCAACTCAAAGCCTAGGTTCTAAAGTTCCGAATTTTTGAACCCCTATTAGTCGAATTGCACATTTAGTGACATGATGATAGCATAGACACAAAAAATTAAATTCTGAGTTTTGTTTTGAACTGTAGCTGGGAACAAGGCCAAAAGACAAAAAGGGAAAGAAGCAAAATAAATTTGCGCGAGAAGCAATGACTACACTGTTTATTATTAGACTGCAATAGTTTTTGCTCAGTCTTTATTTTTTTAAGAAAATTTTCGTTTTGAGCCCTAATATGTTCTTAGATACATCCTTATTTTTTTTAATCCGATATGGTTTCAGGAAAAAATAACTTGCTTTCGAATAGAAAACACCTTCTCTTTCTTTCCCCGAAGTCTGTCAGTTTAAGCATGACTCTTCCCCTTCCCAATATCTCCCAGAACAATAATCAGTGTTCTTCTGAGAAACGTCTATTCTGAACGGTATAGTATTTTGTTAAACTTGGTCTGGGAGATGCTTTTCTAGCTATTTAGAAGGTATGGTTTAAAAAAAATTTTTTCGCGTCGGCCTCAACCATGGTGGGTCCTCCTACATCAGTAAGCGCGATTCTAAGCCCCTCGGGTTCAATTTCCTCAAGCTGTCTCTGAAAAATGTTATCAACTCAATTATAAAAAAGTCAACGTGCTAAGAAATATCTAAAAATATCTTCTATAGAGCAGATAAAAACTTTACAAAATCTAATAATCTTTCTTTTTGTTTTTTAAGTCGTTTGCCGCTCAAGCAGTTTCCATAACACATACCGTAAATTGCTTGGTGGTGCCATGACCCACTGCACACTTTATGCTCTGCAGACCCCCCCAATTGACATGACAGATTTACGGCCCTGCCATGTGCTGTTTCTTACTGGGTCGCTGTTTGTATACTCATTAGTAACTCATTGACTGCTAAATGAAATACAAGAAAGGAAGTACTGTCAGTTCAACTGTGACATTATTTTGTTTCAAACTTTAACGAGCTAATAATTGAGACCTTGAGTGTAACCATTCGATTTTCTTAGGCATGAATTATAAACGTGTGAAATTACGTGTCTTTTATTTTTGCACCAGCTCACTAGAAAACGATTTTGCAAAGCTTATATAGCTGTCTAAACATGTTTAATTAGAGACCAGCTTTACCTTCAAACTTTTTCATTAGCTTGAGGGGTAAGGAGGATGATGTATAATAGGAATTTTCGTTGAAATTTTAAACACTTTTTTATCTACAGGCGCCCATGACAAAATTCTTTGCCAATTTCGAGTAAATGGCCATCAGTCCTCGGTTTACGTATCCTGACAAATCTTCATATCAGTCTTTTTTTTCTATCATTTCAGCAATTTGACGAAGAAACAAGAACAAGATGACTCAGTTTCTGATCTTTGAGCCACCCACCATACAGTGCGTCAGCAAAATGGATTTTTGGTCAAAGCTTTAGACAATTATAGGATTAAGGCAATCAATAACGTATCGTCTATTATGCACAGCTTAGTTACGACAAGAACAAACGCAAGGGTATGGAAATCGTGCTAATGTAAACAAAACAGCACGAAACGCGCATTTGAGGACAACAAACGGAGATTTTGAAACTCGTTGGATAACATTTACAACATGAACGGGGAAGACGTGAGTGAGCGAGTTTATAAATATTCGATTCGCGTCGATGCACCAACGGTGACTTTTCTTGTATTTGGTTACACGATAGGTGCAGCAGTCATAATAGCAAATGCGTTGGAAATTCATATCATACGTAAAAAATGGCAGAAGATTACAGATTTTGAATTGATCCTTTTCAATTTGGCCATAGCTGATGCTTTTACGGGAGTTTTCTATCTTTCATTGGCAGGAATGGAGACATACATATATGTACAAAAAAAAATTATCAAGGACAAGTTTCTTGTTGCTGTATATTTCCATATTATCGTTTCGGTGATAGTGTCGGTGAATTTCGTCATACTCATAGGGACTGAGCGGTTGTTTGCCATTAGACTGCCACTACAACACCGCATGTTTCATATGAAACGTAGAAGGGTCTGTGGAGCTGTCGCTTCAATCTGGATTATTACAATAATACTTTGTGCTGTTGTCATAGCAACAGATCAAAAGCTCACAAACGAAAAGGGACAAATAGTTTCTTTTGGCTCTCTATATCTTGGCTATGTGTATGGAGCTGTACTGACTTTCCAGTCTGTTGTTGTTCTAGTTCTTTATACTGGTGTGGCCGTTAATGTTTTAAGGCATCGATCACGATTTATAAAATTGAACAGAAACACTATAAAAGCTACCAGGAAAACTGTCACCAAAAGTTGGAAGAAAGAGCGTACTATTCTTATTGTATGTGTTCTTGTTGTGACGTCATTTCTCATCTGTACTACCCCATACGCTATTCGGATGTACAGGGGTGAATCGGCAACCGTGGAGAACTTGCTTCTTTTGTCAAACTCATTGATCAATCCATTTATTTACTTCTTTAAAATGCTGATAGAGAAACGACACTTTAGGAAAAGAGCCTTATCAGCCAGAAAGGGAATAACGGAAACAATCAAAATGAGCAGTACAAAGAAAGAGAACATGGGCCAAGCTAAGGAAAACCCAGTATTTGAAAACGGAGTGATTTGATTTATATCACAACTTAAAGTCGCTACTGTTAGCTACTGTAGAACAAGAGTATGAATGCTCTAATGCACTTTAAGTGGTAAATGCTATCTTATCGCACTTTAATTTTATCTATGCTACGAATGGACCTTTCAAAGACATATTTTTTAGTAAAATCTGAGGGGAAGCCCAATTGAGGTGAATCCTAACTAATTCAATGTTTGTAAATAGTTGGGTAACTAATTCACGAACTGTGCGTCTTCGCTTTCTCATACGATCCTACCATGGGGACAAGAGCCAAAAATATTTGGAGGGGAATTGAGATCAGAGATAAATATAGAGGAGGGGGGCTCTGGAATAAACTATACAATGCCTCGTTCTGGTGAGGCGATCATATACCAAAATTGAATCTTGTTTGGTGATAGTTTTGATCGAAAGATATCAAGGCTATGATTAAACAGGAAATTAAACAAATGATAAAATTTGCTTATGATTAGCTACATTACTTTACATACAATGTTTTGGAAGAAAATTGAAAGGTTAATAGAGAAGGATGAAATGCTAAATTAGTTTAGTATTTGCTTGTGCTAGAAGAAACGGTCGGATATATGAATGAATATTAGCAGTGATTTCATTTTGGATATGTAAAAACGTTTTATATCATACAAGATAATATACACATGTGTTTGATTTGACAGGATGGAGATGCTATTTATTCATTTATCGCGGCAATGAGAGCATGCCTTCGATAATCATATGCATGGCATTGCAGCAAGAATTGTTAAGTAACTTCAAATACGTCATTTTCAGGCACATTGGGTCGACTGTGTCTCGAAAAAATGACTGAATTTGTGAGAATTTAGCTTAAAGAGGTCAACTACGCGAAGCTGGATGAGAATGGCAATACCTTTGTGACCATAAATTTCAAAATCAGGTTTCTGGAAAAGAATATTTCAAAATAAGCTTACTGCGGGCAATTCCCTGATCTCAGAAGCAAGCCTCTTCCATTCTTTAAGGTCTCTGAAGTTCATTACAGATTTATACTGAAATACTGAAAACAATATATTATGGAGGTATATGTAAACACCTTAATAAGAATTCAAGTCGATCTAACAGGTGGGTTGAAGTCTCTTTATTTTAACAAATTCTATATAAAAGCTTTACTTCTCAATGGACTCATTTTTATAAATTCTCCATAAAAGCTTCACTTCTCAATGGACGTCCTTTGGGCTGGTCGGCTACTTTCCATATTTATGAGAATAATCCTATAGCGTCCCAGCCTTTACAAGTGCCCCTTAGCTCACTCAAAAGGTAGCGCTTAAGTTTTTCAAATGCACAAATCCCACTGCGTTTTGCAAAGCAACCCACTTCGTTGGAGAATTTAAACACTAACTTAGGCCGAAACATACTAGATGTCGAGGGTTTTTGCAAATACCAGCTTTGCAGCAGAAGAGTCATTCTAAGCAAAACATCAACAAGTTAAGAGATCGTATGGCAACATGAATATTTATTATACACAAGGTAAATCCACTTAACATCAAATACTGTCTTCAATAGAATGCACCTGCAATTAATTTACAAAACGATGCCCAACTTATCGAGGCTTTCAAATTATTGTCGTACATTGCGAGGGTCAGTAGAATTAGGTCTGTAAAAATGGCATGATCAACTCTTCCTGTGCCATGATTAGTCCCGAAAATTTACTTTGGATTCTTATAGCAATCATTGAATTTTCTATTCTGCTAAGTTATGTTTTGGTGAAGATATGGCGTCTAAGCTTATGAACTATTAAGAAAACTGTGTAACTGGTAAAAGAGAGGGGCAGTGCGGATGAATGACTTGGCCTTGGGTGTTGGCTTGAAAGCACGACCCGATAGCTCAGCGGTAGAGCACTAGAAGGGTCGTGAGTTCGAGCCTCGCTCGGGTCAGTTATTTTCCCGCACTCTCTACTAAGAAAACTATTTTAAAATAAGTCACTAGTAAAAGAAATTGTGCGATGCGAAAGATTCGCAAAAAATATTAAGAAATGCTAGGTAGACTTGTCTCAGGTCCAGTTGTAAAAGAAAAGCTTAAGTGGCAATGTAAATGGCTGAAAGTTCTTTCAAATAACTGACAGACCGGTTTAAATTTAAGTCAGGTACTGCACCGATTTCCATAAATGTGATTGAAAGATAAACCCATTTCAGCTGCATACCTACTGCTATCTTCGAAATTAGAATTCACCAAAGGCAATAACAAAGGTACACAAGTTTCCGTTGTATTGAGCCACAGTTTGCAGTCTTGATAAACTGGTTATACATGTAACTTATAAAAGGCTGGGCCCATTTAAAACTCTCACATATTTTGAATTTCACCCATCTCGGATCAATAAATATATAATCTTAAGTGTTTCCCGTAACCGTCAGCCTTGGCATCAGTAGCAATACTTGACCGAAACAGAACCAATGGAAAGGCTTTCAATCCAAAGATGAATCTGATGAATGCTTGTGTTTTGATTTACTCTTTCCACTTTTCAGCTTGCGTTTATTTTTCTTTTCACGCCTTTCCTTTTTCTTGTTTTTCCTGGCGACAAACAGATCAGAACCATTTAATGATTGTGTTTAAACAAGATAAAAGCTGCATCTACCCTGAGACCGGATAAATTATAGTGGCCATAAGGCTGAGGACCGCCATTGGGAGGGTCAGTGGAAAAAATAATTCAAAGTGCCATACCCAGAGACCTTGCATTGTTGAAACGTCCTGTGATCAAGGAATATAATAAGGTCAAAACATAACCAGATTTGTTGATTGAGCACTTGAATTGATATAGCAGATGAACCACGTATTACTGGGCCTAGATAATATGGAGGATTTTAAGATCTAAAAGCACTGAATATTTAATCTCTTCCTTCTGCTACTGAAAGCGTGGCGAAGTGGTGACGTCATAAAAATTTGTTTTCAGAATTTTCAATATTAACCACAGGGAAGAACGCCATAAAATGCCTCTTAATGTGCAAAATCAAAATCTGTTATTAATTTGCTGAGATATTGTCAAATGAGACTGTTTCCCAATCAGATCCCTGTAAGTTGGATTTATTTTTAAAATTTTTGAGCCAAGCTATAATCCGTTAGTTAACTACTTCTCTTTAATCGGAAATATCTTAGCCGATTTGTGGGGGATTTAACAGACTTTGCACATCTTGAGACCCTGTAGGGTGTTCTTCAGATTCTGTGGTCAAAATTCTTTACGCCGTTTGTAAGGAGGACGGTACCATTTCACCAATCTGTTTGGCCTTCAATCAATAATCTGGTTTTCGATCTCAACTCATTTTGTCAAGTCTATATCGTGCTTGATAAAGGAGTTGATATTCATTTTTTTGTGGACGACTGCGAGAAGAGATGAACAGAGAAACGGGCCAAACCTGTACCAGCTATTTGTATTGGAAAAACAAGAAACCTTGAAATTGAAACAATCTGGGTGCTAAAATCCCGGATTGAATGTTTTTGAAGCACAAATGATAGAATTACTGATCCAACATTGATTCGGGGGAAAAGGGAAAAAGATAAGTAGATGCAAAAATCGCAATTTGTCTAAACAATTTTGTCTGGGATTATAGGTACAGATAAGTACAGACGAACCTAATGCAATGTAATTGGGTTGCCTTTCTGAACTAGGCACCGAGCCTTTAGTATCCGGCCAGGATTTGGCGTGGTCCCTAAGAAATTTCTCTTGCTAGTTTAGTCGCCAAAACTTTTGAGGAAACAATCATGCTAACTCGGCTGATAACAGACTACACAAAAAGATTGGTGAGAGATTACGATAGTTACAAAGATTTGAGCAGCAGTCCCTACGATTTTAGCACCAGTTCCAGCGTTTATAGATATGTCTCTAGTTATTTTCTTATCTCTTACCAGTGGTGGACACCTGGGGGCAAGAGGGACCGGTCGCCCCCGAATAATGTGGAGAACAATGGTCTTCTGTTCTAAAACAATGGTAGAATGTGACGCCATCTTTGCCCCTCTCCCCGTAATATTTGACCAATTGTTGGCCCGTCTCTACCCCACTAATAAAATAAGATTATTAGATACAGAAAAGAAACTGAAGTTGGTCATCATACCTGGCTAGACAATTTCAGTCACTTACAATTAGACCATATCAGACACGTACAAGACAATTTTCAATATATATTTAAACTTTTTATTAATAGTTTTCACATGAATTAGAGGCCTAGAATGAGGCTTAGAGACATGAATGCGGCAAACAAAATACGATAGAACATCTTAACGAAACCTGTAATCTTCATTCACTTATCAAATATCTAATGAAAAGCTATTCTTTGATGATGGCGTCAACCAGACATTTATCAAACGTAAGAAGGGGTTCACAACATTTTTTATCGCTTTCGTACCTTTTTTTAACCTTTCTCTTTTCTATTTCAGTCTTTCTTCTCTTCTCGCTACTGCCTGGAAAATAAACAGGAGATCTCCATATCCTTACCACGATATCAAACGCAGAAAAAGTATTCATTCAAATATATTCTTGATTTGCACATGGGAAGTTTAATTTTAAAACAATCCGACATAAAACACAATAGTTTTAGTATTAACATGACTTGAAGAAAAGGAAATGATGCCTTTAGTAGGAAGAGATTATTCAAGAGCTACGATTATAAATCAGTTCGTGATAGAGGTATTAAATAAAGCTGGTGTATCGTTTACGTAAAACAATTGCGGCTGGGGTCATACCTGCCACAAAAAGCTGAGTCTTTCAACATTTTGCGACTGAATTCTACTTGAATGACTACTTTTAAAGCTAAAGGAACACGATGGGGGTGAGTGCAATACAACCATACAACCTTTACAGTTCAGTTTACAGGGATCTTTAATTGCAAATATACTAGCAGTATTTTAAATCGCCCAAAAAGATTTCTTTATAATATTTTCAGAGCTTCGGTGCTGCCAATTGATTTCCAATTTCTTACGATGGTGAACTCCAACATATTTTGAGTGCGATATCGGCCTTTCCTGTCAGAAACTGTTAAATTATCAAAAATAAGAATTAAGCAACAGAGTGCTCCAAGGACTTTTGAAAAGGATCGTAGAATGTATAGAAGTAAATATAATTATTACGGCATCTTTATAGTAGGTAAAATAAGATATTTGATAAATACTTTTTTCTTTTGATGACGCAGACCAGTCTTCCTCAGACGACGAGGATGTCGATTCGGATGCGTCTGTATATTTTCGTTTTCTAAAGAAAATAGTACTTGTTGTTAAGTTTACAATATGACCCATAAGTCGAATAACAAGAAGTGCACAAGTGAACCCTCTTTTTGCAAATGAACCCTCTTTTTTTGCAAATGAACCCTCTTTTTTGCAAATGAACCCTCTTTTTTGCAAATGAACCCTCATTTTTGCAAATGAACCCTCTTTTTTGCAAATGAACCCTCATTTTTGCAAATGAATCCTATTTTTGCAAATTAACCCTCTTTTTTGCAAATGAATCCTCTTTTTGCAAATGAACCCCCTCTTTTTTGCAAATGAATCCTCTTTTTGCAAATGAACCCTCTTTATTGCAAATGAATCCTATTTTTGCAAATTAACCCTCTTTTTTGCAAATGAATCCTCTTTTTGCAAATGGACCCTCTTTATTGCAAATGAATCCTTTTTTATGCAAATTAATCCTCTTCTTGCAAATGAATTTCAGAAAAAATTTTATCATAATATTAGTACAATACATATTACCTAGTTGAATACCAATTATCCAAAAACAACTAATAAAAAGTCCTTAAACTAGAAACTCAAAACATTACTGTTACATAAATACGTTTTCTATTAGATAGCTTTGTCTTGCAGTATGCAAGCATCCATTAAAAACATTTACTTGCTAAAACATTGTCACATAATATATGGTTTATTAGATGAAATATTTTCATGTCAGAAAGTCTTGTCCTCCCACATGTAAAATAATAAGATACATTTCCCAGTTCAAAAGTATTTCCACAGTTACAATCGCAATACAAAATATTTAGAGCTACAAAATATTTTCCTCGATAAGCAGATATCTGAAATAGAAATGTCTTTAAATTTCAGTATCATCAAAGAAAACAAAGCTAAAAAAGGGCATCAAAGATGCATATAATTGGTCTCTCACCTTGATGTTTTAGATTTGCTCCTTTTTCGCTTGCTTTTCCGTTTCTTCTTTTCAACTAAACAAAGAATGACAGAAACATAATTTAATGAAAATGACAAAATACACTCAATTTTGTAAGTTACATCGCAACATAAACTAAGATTAGATTGCAACCACACCAAAAGGTTTGCATAAAGAGTCAAAAATATCATAAAAATAAGATATGAAACAATACATTGTACAATACCATTGTCTGCCTTCTGGCTGCTTCTGCTTCTACGTGGGTCTAATTTCGAGTCAATAAGCTCATCATCACTTGTCTCACTGGAAGTACTGCCAACATCCACAATTACTTCTTGTTCTGGGTTTGATCTAAGTGTGTTGAAACATTCAAAAGCCAAGTGGCCAGCTACAAAATAGATTCACCAACAGTCAACATGATTTGTTCAAACTTGTTTTAGAAATACAAGACAACCTTTTCCTAACTTATAATGTTCCTTTATTGCAAACTGGTGTTATTTTTGATGTAACAAAGCAATATACAAAGATGCATATCTTGATCAGTTACAAAGACAATTTTAACCATTTTGCTAGAGAAAAGTTTTCAGCAGTGAAATGATATTTGATTGTTCTATTAAATGGTTCACAGATTTAAGCAAGTATATATTGTTCACATCCCTAATTTCTAGTAACTATTCTGTGCCAGAAAGAAAAATTTCACTACAGAGTAATAACATCAAATAATCAGTGGGTTCAAAAATGGACTTTAGTTACAGTTTGCTAACGAAAGCACTTGTAGTTGTATGAGGTGTATTAAACATTCATTATAGGTATCTACTTACTATATCCACATTTTCTGCAACCAATCCTATTACTGTCTGGCTTGTTTGTCAATCTTTTGATAAGACCTTCAGATAATCAAGAACACTGAATAATTCAGCAAACATCAAATATATCAGGAATGAGAGAAAAAAACAAAGCTGAGTGCATTTGACTCTATAGGTAATAAATTTATTTTAAAAATTTTAACTTTATGTTATTATTAAATCAAAATAGTGTTTTTGTGTATATAGCTACCAGACCATATCATTCTGCATGGGGAACATCAGAACAATAAAATTCAAATTTTCAGATCTAATTAAGGTTTATGAGAAATTGTGGCAATGGAATATGTGGCAAAGGCTTTCAAGGAGACCTTATATTCCTTTTTCTTTTAAATCAGTCAGAAGTTTATTGGTAGAATATTTGCAGGAAGCAATACCAGATAAGCACATAATATGGGTGGACTCTACCACAACAGATTAAAAATTTCTGAAAATTTTTTAACAAACTAAATTAATGCTTCAGGGAAATATACCAATGCGCAAATTGTGGGAAGCAGCATCATGGACATTACTCAACCCTCCATAATTTAGGCAAAAGGTCTAGCTTTTATTGGGAACTTTGGCAATTAGAGGAAAATAAACTTCCATTCTAAACTGAATGCCATTGAATAAGATCTTAAGAGAAATCAGTTCTCAAAATTGCAAAGGTTCCTATATCTCAATTTTATTGACTTGTAAACACATGATAAGGTAGGACAAATTTAGGTTTATGGTGGTTTTACCTATGATTTAAGTTGGGATCATTTTTTCATTAGTACCAACAATTCTTTAATTTCATTAAACCACTGTAGGGCTTGTGAAACAATTTTCTATTTGTAAAAGGCAACTCTGATGCTAATCAGGTTATTATTACCCTAGGTGAGCAAAAGTATTGCACCACTTCGACGAATTAATAATGGTTCAAATCTCAAACCACTTTTATGAAGCCATTAAGCATTATTCCATGATTAAAACTCAATCAAACAAAACTTAAAACCATTGGCAAAACTTTCTATTTTAATTTTGAGAAAAATATCTTTTAAAATATCAAAAAATTAAACTTTTGATTGGACAGTCTCAAAGCTTTGAAACCCTTGTAAAACTTGTTAAATTCAATTAAAAACTTTTGCAGAAGGTTACTTTAGAACGCCACATGATAAGTTTAAATAAACTTTGGCAAGATCACATTTAGATGGTTATGATTCCAGAAGATCATTATTGGCTTTGAATTTAACGAAAAGTGACACTTTTACAGCCATTTTTAGATGAAGGTTTATGGGATTATTTGCATTTATTGGACACTGGTAGGACACAGTTTACAACTGTTTATTGCAGAAATTTTTCATTGAAAGAGGAAATGAAATGCTGTTTTGGGCAAATTGCCGTAATATTTGTTCCCTAAACAACATCGCAATTAGCTGGAAGAGATGAAGTTAAAGGCTACTGACATGCTTTATCGATTGTATTATGTTGCAACATGTTATGAAATGGTATCTGAAATTAGGCCTTTTGCAGGACGAAAATCGTTCGACTAAAACTTTTGAGAAATATTTTAATAACACTCAGAAGAATTAACAGTTTTGGGCAACCGAGCAAAAGTAAGTATTTCCAAGTTCGACTTAATGAAATCTTACAGGTTTGTACAAAGAAAACCCGTTTTTGTTGCAAATATATTACAGGTACTCCTATCGCCATAGCTCAGTTTTCATGTTTTTGCAGTGTTCGATATGGCTTGAAAATAAGAAGAATCAAAGGATATATTTGCATTTTTCATTTTCATTACTTTACGTTGATAAATTTCTCATTATTTCCCACCCTAAAGGTCATCTTAAAACGTTAATTTAACTTGCTTTAGCTATTTGAATTTCGGTTTGCTATAAAAAGTTCGCGGCGGTGCAGCCATTTTGTTGGGGGGGGGGTGCAATACTTTTGCTCACCTAGTGTATTAATTCATAGTTGGAAGTTTGCTGGGTGGCTAACAAATAAAGCTTCATTCAGCTCAGTCCCCTCTGAAAAGTATGAAAGCTGCTGCTATACATACCATCATATTCACCCTCTGTAGTTTGGTACATAGCGAGCTTTCACTTCCCGTTACAAGTCTTCACGGCAACGGAACAACTACTGAACAAATCACATTGCCTTAGGCCTAAATAATTATATTCTTTGAGGCATTCGGCGAAGGAGGCTGAGCCTCGTTATAGAGTTGTCATAACAATTCCGATGTTTAACAAATATAAACATCGTTAAATTTCTATTAATTGTTTCAATTGTATTTTCACACATTTGAATATTCGGTGAGTAGATTTTATATTGACTACAGGCAGTGAAAGAATTTATTCACTACTGTTGGTAAAACGAGTGCACTTGTCGGTATTAATAAGATAAAAAAAGGCAGGTAGGTATTTCAACAACCTGCTGCAAACAAGTTCGCTCCTGGGTGAGATTTGGGTTCTTTTACTTGCAAACGCGAGGTCATTTAAAACCTTTTCTCTCGTAAATATTCTATGTTTGTAGAAAAGCTTTTTCGTAAAACTTTGTACTTCAAAGTAATTTGATATTGATGAGGCATCTCTGCTTGTAATGTGCCACCCTCACACCGTAATTTTTATTCCACTGATTTGATTATTAGCCTGCGTGAAAAAATTCATAAGCCCAGTGAAATCCATGGGAAAAACATGTTTGGCATCGTTGGACATATAGGGCCAGTGCATTTACCAACCAAATTAGTGAATCAGATTTTACTTTTAAAGTAAACATTGTTATGCTATGCACACATTTTTAAGCATTTTACAACCAGGGACCTGTTATACGGAAAGTAAATTAGAAATTCTATGGATATAATATGAAATACAAAGTTTTTATAATTTTTTTGCAATTGTTTGTAGCAAGCTCAATAATACTGGTATTTTACATTTTAGAATCCCATTGGGTTGTTTTCCACATAAGCCAAAATGGATTCAAATAATAACTATGCGTTGAGCATAAAAAACATACAAAAACAAATTGAAAAATTGACAATGGACCTTCAAGACTTTGATGGACAACAAGATGATAAATTAGACATGTTGTGTGACAAGCTGGATGAACTTGAAGTCAAAGTAAGTGAGATACAAAGTGAAATCAATGCCTCAAGGAATGGAAAACTTATATGGAAAATATCAGATGTTCAAAATGCAAGACAAAAGGCTATCGATGAAGAAGAAATAGCATTATTTAGTAACACAATATATACTGGCCTCTATGGATATAGATTACGTGCAGTTGCTTATCTTGATGGCATTGCTAGTGGAAAAGGCACACATTTGTCTCTGTATATAACATTGGAACAGGGTGAATTTGATGCACTTCTAAAATGGCCATTCAAACAGAAAGTGTTTTTCACCTTACTTGATCAGGGGAAAAACTCATCGCCAGCTCAGCACAGAACAGAAGAACTGCTGGGAGACAGAAGCTCAACAAGTTTTCATAGGCCAAAAAGCGAATCCAACCCTGGATGGGGCTTCCCAAAGTTCATATCTATTGAGAAGCTGATGTCTGGGACTTATATAAAAGATGATTGCATGTTTATCAAGATTGAAGTGGAACAATTTGATGTTATTGAATTGTAACAAATAAGCTAACAATTAGAGTTATAATATTAAATGCACATGTTGCAAATATGTTGCCAGATAGTAGTAGTAATTAACTTTTGTGTTGTGATTGCTTTTCAAAAGCAATATCAGGAAATCAAAACTAATACAGGGGTTTGTAGTCATTTTTTGGAATTTACCCCCATTACAAAAGTGCATGACCAACTCTCCAGAGCTGGATTCACCACTGAATCTAAATAAAGATCAAAATTCTGCTTTATGGCCATTTTGTGTCTACCCTTCTACATGGCAATCTAAAGATTTGATGTTGTTCTGAATATGAAAACTTCTTTAATGTTGTGAAAGCGCCACCTGCGTAAAATTTAACTGTCCCTTGCTTCGATTTGATACTTATAAGCGACAAGAGAAAACCTCCAATGAAAAAGCAACTGAAACTGAACTATTCGATTTTCATGTAACGATGGCAACCATAATACCAAAACTACACAACAATGCAAATCAAATCCTGAAAAGAACCGAGCTTCGAACATATCATCAAACATATTCTAAACGTTCTTTCCAGCTGTTAAGAGAAACAAAACATGAGGCAAAGGGCGAAGGCGACAAAGTAACCTTAGGGTTAAACTCTTCGGCCAAGTATAGAGTCATACCATGCCTAGCTTGATGCAACAGTTGTCAGTCAGTGACAGCAAGGGGCTTGGGAAAACTGTAAAACCCTTCTTTAAAAAATTCAAAGCATCACACATCCAGAATATGATGTTGTTGAGTTTGATAGCGGCAATGTTTCTGAAAATTTGACTATTTTTTAAATAATTTTGGAAAAAGGGTATAACGAATGAAAACTAACAAAAGCCGGTTAACAGTCAAGAATATGATCCTTGTCAAGGTATTATAATCATCCAACAAAAGAACCATGAATTTCTCGGAAAGATCACAGTGGAATTAATGCTCGAACATTTGCAACTTAGATCCTAAGAAAGTTTCACCAAAGAACGCAATCCCTGCAAAGATTTTACGGTCTAACTTAATTTTATTATTCTTATGTAGCTCTTGATAAGCCACTTGAAAAAAGCAGAATCCCAGATGATCTGAAAATGCCGATGTTTCTTCACTCTTCAAGAAAGATGATTATATGAACAAGTAGAAGTATAGACCAATAATTTTCCTTCCTCCAATCGCGAAAATGTTTATCTGAATTCACTGAATGCTTTTTTTTCACCACCATCAAAAAGTTTTAGACAAGGCAACAACACGCCGCATGTACTGTTAAACATTTTACAAAATTGAAAAAACAGCATTGATAGCAAGGCTGGGGTAGTGTTCAAATACCTTTCTCTGATTGTGAAAGCCAGGACCTCTTGATTGCCAAACTGAGTGCCTATGGATTTAGCAGGGTTAGCCATCAATCAAAGAAACAACAGATAGTAGAGAACAACGGCTCTTTTAGATTATCTGAAGGATCTGTCCTAGGGTCTTCGTTAATAATATCCTCTGATATCCGAAATTAAATTTGTGAATATGGGCTGGGGACCTTTATGGTTCTGTGGAATGTTCAGTGGGTTATGAAAGTTGATTGAGGACTGCTTTATGAAAAGTCCAGTACTGGCTGTTCAAATTGTTGCATTTTGTAGCTACTCTCTTCATACAGATTTTGACCTGCTCATATTGCCTGGAAAAAAGTAGTATTATTTTATCAAGTTCGACCATCTTTACCTATATAGATCGGGAGGCAGATAAATTCTGTTTTCACATTTAAACTTACCGGTTACTTCAGCATGGTAAGGGTGTACGTCAAAATACTTGATTTCATCATTTTAAAAAAGCAAATATGAAAAGAATTTGGCCTCTTTTCCTTCTGTGTCGGCCCTGTACCAACAATCTCGGACAAAAATGGTTGAGACTTTTCAAGGAAAGCTTATATTTTCACTTTCCTTTCAAAAATAACTCCCCCCCTCCCCCAATTCAAAGTTGAATAAATGATTTTGAAGGAGAAATGATAGAACTACAAATCCAACATTGAATCGGAGGGAAAGGGGGGAACTCGAATTTACAGGGGTAAGGTAAAGTAGAAAAATACAAAAATTTCATTTTGTCTCAAAATTTTTGTCCGGGATTGTAGAAAGTGATACATGTCAGATCTAGCAAGCCTGACAATCTTTCCCATGGCTAAGCTGTAAACTTGTCTAAAAATGTAAATTTAATCAAAAAATGTAAATAAAGTAGATGAAAGGGAAAATAAGGTACAATGATGAATGGAACAGTTGAGTTCTCGGAAGTCGATCAGCTGAACGGGGTCCAAAACACAGCTGCAACGATTCGCAGTTTACCAATCAGGTAAAGAACACTCGCTTTAGAAAGTTATAATGATTTACAATCACTGCCAAAATTACTTGGAACACTTAGCACTTTGCGCTGTGCTTTTCTATTTTTCATTTGTTTTCTTGAATACTACCAATTCCGCCCCCTTTTTCCCCCCATAACAATGTTGAAAGTATAGAAAAATATCAAACAACCCACAAGAAAAAGCGTACTCCATAACCCCTTTCTTTTTTCTATAGTAAATCAACATTGTTCCTAGGGGGAGAGGGGGATGGCTGAATTTGCCTTTGAAAACTGACGTACACCTTTCTCCCCAAAACAATGTTGAAAGTATAGAAAAATATCAAACAATCCACAAGAAAAAGCGTACTCCATAACCCCTTTCTTTTTTCTATAGTAAATCAGCATTGTTCCTAGGGGAGAGGGGGATGGCTGAATTTGTCTTTGAAAACCTACGTTAGTGTTCCAAGACTTTTGGCAGTGATTGTAGGTTCCGTGACATGGATGGCTCCTTCTATTTAAGTGACCTGACACGGAATATCGGACAATACGACTCTTATTCTGTTGTTTCTGAACTAAAGCCTTCCAAACTCGCTACTCTACCATACAAGTTTTTAATCAAAGATATTCAACATAATTTGCTTTCAAATCTTCTTTCGTGCGCAAATATGCTAATATAAACTTCTATTGACTAGAATGAAACTATCAATGATTTTGTTTTGGCAATGTCATCTATTTACAGAGCTGCCAACTGTTCTGCATCACAGAATGGATTTAATGCCTTCTCCTCAAAAATCCAGCTGCTTTTGCTCATATCAAAGCTGCATTTGTCCAGTGTCTTTGTCGTGCAGCTTTTGCTTAACTCGTATTCCCTAAAAAAAATAACAAAAGGAACTTTCTAATCTCGCAGACAGGGAAAGACAGGGCAAGGCAGGGCAGGGCACTTCGGGGCAGCACAGGGAAGGGCAGGACATGACGGGGCAAGGCGGGGAAGGACATGACATGATGGGGCAGGACGGGGCAGGACGGGGAAGGACAGGGAAGAACAGGGTATGATAGGACAGGGCAGATCGGGGTAGGACAGGGAAGAACAGGACATGGCGGGGCAGGACGGGGAAGAATGACATGATCGGGCAGGACGGGGCAGGACGGGGCAGGACGGGCCAGGACGGGGCAGGACGGGCCAGGAAGGGGCAGGACGGGAAAGGACAGGGCAGAACAGGGTATGATAGGACAGGGCAGATCGGGGTAGGACAGGGAAGAACAGGACATGACGGGGCAGGATGGGGAAGAACATGACATGATCGGGCAGGACGGGGCAGGACGGGGAAGGACAGGGCAGAACAGGGTATGATAGGACAGGGCAGATCGGGGTAGGACAGGGAAGAACAGGACATGACGGGGCAGGACGGGGAAGGACAGAACATGACGGGGCAGGACGGGGTAGAGCAGTGTATGACAAGGCAGAACGGGTCAAGGCAGGGCAAGACAGGACAGGACAGGGTGGGAAGGCGGAGAACAGGACGGGGTATGACGGGGCAGGATAAGGAAGTTCAGGGTAGGACGAAACAGGACAGAGCAGGACGGGACAGGATAGAGCAGGACGGGACAGGACAGAGCAGGACGGGGCAGGATAGGGCAGAATGGGTCATGAAAGGACAGGACAGGGCGGCTCAAAGCTAACTTTGCGCACTGGTTTGCAAGAGGGGGGGAGCAGATATCTGTTTCATGAACATAGCTGATGCTTAACGTTTAGAGGGCCTTAGGGTGAATCTTGTTCGAATATTATTGCTTCTTTGAGGTAGAACTGAAATGCGAAAAGTTTAGCCTGATAAGGGGGAGGGGGTATGTCTTTTCTGACTATCATCGGTATCATACGACAGCTCGAGCTGACGGCTGTAAATAAACTATTTCTTATATCGTATTCGTTTATCTGTTGATAATACTACTAAATCAAAATTCTAATTTTACCTTTAAATTTCAAAACCCTTTCATACTTTCTTGTAGCATAGAGCTTTTGCACTTATTGGAAAAAAATCTGACGCGTTAGGACTATGAAAGCTTGATGGGATAAAGTTCCACGTGACGTCAGTTCAAACAACCCAGTGTAATGAAAACAGACACTAAATGTGTGAGAAATTCTCAATTTTTTGTACTTTTGGTAAAGGGTTCTTTTCTCTCTCTTTTCTATAAGCCTGTTTAGTAATGACAGACAAAGCTTTATGCATCAAAATCTAATTAAATTCAGTAAAAAGATTAAAGATAATCATGAACTAAAACAGCAATAATAAAGCTTGATTTAAAAATTTTTTAGAGGCAATATAAATTTTCAGCTGGTTTCAGTTCTCATGGCAAATCTTTTCTGTTTTGAAATATAATATGGCTGGAGCTGAAATTACCTACGTCATCAGGGCATTTCTGGTTGAGATGGTAAGTTTTAAATAATAAACAGAAAAAGAAAAATCAGATGATCTATGCAGATTGGGTTTGGTGCAAGATAGCAGAACCAGGGGCTCCGGAGTTGCTGAGATTGTTAATGTCGAAAAGTAAGCCTTGTTTACATCTTGCTAGTAACATTTTTGCTGCAGTTTATGTGAGGCCTCTTACACTTTTTCCTTTTTATATCACTACACTCTTGGGTAATCAGTCTCATGTTAGGAAAATTGCGTAGTTAACTGTACTACTGTTCCCCTAGCAGCGAGCTGTATTGATGTTTTTCGTCATTGTGTCCACTTTCTGTTTTTTGCTGAAGGAACAGCTCATGGGTATTTTCACTCGCAGCTTTTACCATAATCAGGTAACAAAAAAAAGTTATTTTGAAATGAAACTTACTTGCATAGTCTTGGGTCTCCTCGGTTTTTCTTGAACATTCTAAACCATAAATGATTACACTGGTTAATTGCATCTATTGTCCCTTTTGGGCATAGTTTTGAGTCAGGATTGCTTGTCCACAAAGCTCTGATGTCATACTTCGTGTCACCACAGTTAAGCTAAAAATTGAACGTAATAGTAAAAATTCGCGCATCACTTGATAATGAAAATTGTCTCTTTTCTTTTAGGTTAAAAAAATTTTAGCATAGATCTTTATATGGACAACATAAGAAAAGCAAGAGCATAAATATCTAGAAACTGTCCTTCTACAAACCTGCTTGTGCACTTTCATTGCAACTTTGTATTTCGATAAGATGCTTGCCATGACTTTATCATTCACCGTATTCTTGAGACAGGAAACTATCTTTTCCATGTAACATTGCTCAAGGACATTAAATCGTTTGCTGTAATCAGATTGGTTTCATTTAAATAGAGAAAATGCAACTATAGAAGTAGTTTCATTAGAAGTGAAGCATTATAGAAAAGGTCTGAGCAAAAGATCAATAAATTGTCAGCAAACCTTTGTTGGGACCCTTATGTACAATATGGGTCCAGTCTCTACTTTTCAATAGAGCTCCAGATACCTCCGTTATGCCATTGGCTATGGCCCTGCATTTTCAGAAGATTGCATTGCTAATATTTAATAAAGAAATTTGTGGTGGTGGTAGGAACATGTTTGCTCAATGGCAATGTGGCCAAGGGGTTGTTTCTAGGTTCTATCTAGGTTCTATGTCTCTAGGTCATATTTTCAGACAAAGTGGGTAAGCCATTCCTTATTTGCCAAAAAAAAATTTAAACTGGCAGACCAAGTACTTTATGGCAAAAAGCTTAATTTCTTGCAAAATACATGTCAAGGGTGGGGTCACATCCATTACACCCCCATAGTGACAGCCCTGTTATTGGCAACCCAAGTCAACATTTTTGGGAAGAGTCTTTGTGGAAAGTTTGATGAAATGTTGAAAATGGGATCGTTTTGGCATGGCACTAGGTCATTTGCAAACTTGCTTGTGATTTTTGGATGATCACTAAAAGTTAGGAAAAAAATCAGATGGTATACAAGCTTGGTCTTCAAAAATTTTATACAAATCAAGATCTAAGCATTTTCATGAAATACGGGGAATTAGAAAGAGAGGCTCCTTTATACTTAATTAGGTTTTGTTGAATGGATTTTGTGAGTTTGTTGCAAAATGGTTTTCAAAAATCCAAAGGAAGCAAAAGATGAAATAAGTTGTGCCTCTTTGAAATTATGTGACCATATTTTGGGGTGAAATTTTTCGAAAGTTGAAAAATCTAGCAATAAAAACATTGCTGGGCACTTAAATTCAGTATTGGGTGTACAGATGCTACTTCACAACCTTTTAGTGATCGCCGAGACTTATAGAATAGCATCTATGAGTAAATCTTTAGCAGAAAGTTCACTTTTTTTGTCCAAAGTAAATTGACATGTTCAAAGGAACACGATGACTGAGAAAATTTGTAACAATTCACTTATTCTTAATATACATAAGCACAGAACAAAGAAATAGATATAGTTTAGGTAGCAAAAGATTTTGTCTTACAAAACGTAATAAAACAACAGTTTTCTCGCAAAGTTTCTATTCAGTGCTAAAATTAACTTTTTTTATCGGAAAGTTTTGCATTTTTGGGTGAGGCTCTTTGAATAAAGGATGTGGTAAAAGCACCCTTAAACTCCTTTGCCCCCTCCCCACCTTCCAGATGCTTCCTTCATCTCCGGCCTCGTGCAAAATTAAGGTAAGCACAGGAAAATAGAAGACGAGACAAACACCGGTTACTTTGTTAATGGAACAAGCACTAACTGATTAAGAGTCAATACCTGCAAGGAGTTACTCTGTTGGATCTGAAGGACAGGTAAAATTTACGTGAGCATTTCAGTGCATCAAAAGTAAACTTCTTATACGTGCATCTACCAATCATTGTGGGGAATATGTCTTTTTTAACCTCTGGAATCGGTGTTACAAAAACAACATGGTCCTCTTTCTTCATACCATCCATTGGTTTCCCAGTTACCACGATGATCAATGCTAGAATGAGATGTGGCAAAAAGGCGTTATAAGTATTTATAAGTTATAAGTATCTAATTTTAAGAACTTGACAAATATATATATTCATAAACTACATTACTTACAAAATACCTCACATTTTCATAAACTTACAAAATACCGCTTTAGATTAAGAAGGAAAGATTAATGAAGCTTCCTTATGACTTTTTAAGATGCGGATTTTGTACAAGGACCATGGATTACCAGGGGGGGCGAGGGGAAGGGGAGGAGACCAGCAATGAAAGAGACTACCAGGAAGAGAGACTGCCAGGGAGAGAGACTGCCAGGGAGAGAGACTGCCAAGGAGAGAGACAGGTAGAAAGAGAGGGAGGCCTGACGAGAGAGTACCAGGAAGAGAGACTGCCAGGAAGAGAGACTGCCAGGGAGAGAGACTGCCAAGGGGAGAGACTGCAAGGAAGAAAGACTGCCTGGGAGACTGTTTGCTAAAGGGAAAGTCTGCTAGGGAAGGAGACTACATTCTTCCAAGATGGAGCTGATGTCATGTTCTTGTTTTGTGTCAATTTTCTCTACTTTCTAGTTTCTACAACGTACATCAGTTGGCAAGACGTGCAGGAGTACCATTTGCTGTAGTGAATAACGAAGAGTGTTTGTACAGAATTTAGCGATGACTTTATTAAATCGCCGAGAAAACTATCGTATAAATGAAAATATTTAGCTATGAACCACGCAATTAATTTCTTCTTTTCATTTTCCACCTAAGACCGGGCATGATCTCAGAATGTTCTTATTATTGGCAAGTGAGCCAAGGCAGTCTTTTAATTGTGTTCTGATGAAATAGATAGTGAAGTGAAGATAAACGATAGCAGAATAATTTTCAGATAAAATGATAGGATTTCCTCAAAAAGTGATCGGGATTTCCTTTGAGTGCATGCTCCTCGGTCCTGGTTCCTTGGAATACTCCCTGTACAATGAGCCCCCGTTATAGCGAGTTCTTGCTATTACAAACTCTTCTTGGTCCCAACAGAATTCGTAATAGCAGGATTCCACTGTATCTTTGCAGCATTCAGAGCTTTATCTAAAACCATTGGTCTCTGATCCTTAAATTCCCAAAGCTCAAAACCTTTATATACAAAGATCACAAGGATCACATTAAGACGAGGCTATTAGAACAAAATATAAATAGATAAGTAACATGCATTTTAGCTATGCAAGCCTATGGAATCTATGATGTTCTGTCCCTTTGGAACCTTGAAAACATTTGGATGACATTGAGTCATGATAAATGGAGAGGGGATACACTCAAATATGCCGAGTCCTGATATTCATGTGTAACGTTTCAGAATTTGTATTCTTCAGTAATTATTATTATTATTTTAAGCTAGATTTTATTTGTCGCGCTGTTGTGTTAGTAACTCCCTTTTTGGGAAATGTGTTTCACTGTCATTATGTTGTGTGATGTTTCACAGTGTTTCTTTGTTTGTATTTTTATATATGTAATCCAAGTTAGAATAATTATTTAGTCTTACTGTTTTGACGATAAAGATAACATCAAAGAAGGAGTATCTTTTTTGTGCTACCTATTTGGGGCTTAGGCCCATTGGCCTAGCCCATTGGCCTAGCCCATTGGCCTAGCCCATTGGTTCGATTACAAAGACACCGTCTTAAAAATAACCCTATCGTTACACAAACTGATCACATGTAGTTGGCTCGTACTGACTTTATAAACGATTGTAGAAAATGATTGCCTTTGTTTAAGGCACTATATCCCATCGGTCAGCCAGTCAGGTTCAACAAAAGACCCTCTGGTGTGTGCAAGATTGAGAAAACGTTGAGAAATAGTCTTTCGTTGCCGATAGGATACGATACATAATTGAAATGCGGTTAGACATTGAGCCTGAACAGGCGTAAGAAATTTAGCATGCACACTTCATCGGCATTTAGACCCTACAATATCATTCTAAAGAATCAATTTTTCGTGAAAGATAGTATGATAAATAGGTATACACTCTTTTTATAAAAAGTTCCTTATTTTGCTGAGCCTCAATATTCTTAAATTTGTTTTGATTTTGCTTCGTATCGGATTGGGTCAGTGAATCTGATATGAAATGAATCCGGTATCGTGTGAACCGGATTCTAAGATTATTCTTAGATTACTCTAAGCGACACAAGGCGTAACCAGTTGAAGTATAGTTACCCTAGGTACAGAGTCTCAGAAATATAGTTAGAAACTAGTCACAGAAAATTGTTTTTTGTGTACTTATATATTATGTTTATTTCATATTTCATATATGATTTGTTTAGGGAGGGTTGCCCTTCAACAGAAGTTGTTTTTGAAGGGGCCCTCCAAAAAAACTAATTACAATATACAATTAAAATACTAAAAATAAAAACCATAACATTAAAAACCTATTTACAATTACATTGTATTATACAGTATAAAAGGAACTAGTCAACCCTGTATTGATTTTTTGAAACCACCCAGGGAGGATGCCGTCTTGGACTTAGCAAGAAAGCTATTCCATAGTTTAGCTCCCCGGAAAGAGAAGCATTTTTGTCCATTTGCTGGCCTTTTCTTTGGCAACCTTAAATCAGTCTCAGTGTTCCGGAGGCTACAAGAGAAGCATGCTGAGTTTTTCGTGAAGAGGTTACACAAGCATTGAGGAGCCAAATCATAGAGCGACTTGAAGACCATTGTTTTAGTCTCATTGCCAATGAGCTCTTCAATGGTCTTCCAGCCCAACGCTGCAATAAGTAGTCTCTGCTTGGGGTATCAAAGCTGCTATTTTTTCTGATCCTAGCAGCACGATTTTGACGTTTTTGTAACTGGCCGATGTCTGTAGACCCAGCACAACCCCAGACAGAACAACAATATCCAAAGTGGGGCTCTACAATACCAGTGTAAAGAGTTTTCAAACGTTCTATAGGCAGAAAGGATGCATGTCTCTTGTGCCACCGCAGCTGTCTACATACTTTATCTCCGAATTTATGAGGCTCTCGTACCAACGCAGCTGTCTACAATACCTTATCCCTGGATTTACGAGGCTCTGGTACCCAGGGTACATTAAAGTGTTAATGACTCCAAGGCAATGAGATAACTGTGCAGGGAGGCACCGATTTCAGCATTGCGCGGCAAGAGTGACTCTCAGCACCTCGCTACTAGGATTGTTATTTTGTGTGTTGCTTTTGGGTGTAAGAATTGAAAGACTGATAAGAAAAGGCAGTAAATTAATTGGGTTAGAAGTAAAACTGATGCTTCCAGTATTTCTACGGAAAAAAGTGGTGATCGATCGATTTTATTTCACCGGTTTGTTTACAATTAGGCCTATCTGTTATGACCGGGCAGAACGGACAACAGAAACAGACGTGTCTCTAGTGCATATTCCGATTCTCTAATCCTCGAACAATCACGGTTTTCCAATTTATTGATAAACGTGACATGTCATCACATGACGAGCACAAGCAATACGTCATTAACTAGCATTGCCTAATGACACCATTAGAAAACTCATGATTCTACAGATGTGCCTTCGAACATGACATCACATGCACACATGCACACGTTACAAACCTTCCCCTCTCTCAATGAAGAGCAAGCCTAATGAGAAACATAATCACCATACCTTAAAGGGGGATTAACAACCTGACGTAATCTTGGGGGGCGTACATAAACTTGATTTCTTATTTCCCCAGGGTTTTCGTCCATGTCATCATCAGTATCCTGCTCTACAATTTCACAATCTGGTGTTTCAGAAACTGGACAAATGTCCTTACCCTCATCATTAAAAGACAAAGGACAAGGTTTCAACTGATTATGATGAACAACCATGGCTTTTCCGTGCTGCGACTCCACCTTATAATTAACACCCATTTTAACAAGAACCTTATATGGGCCTACCCACTTCCTCCCAAATTTCCACTTTTTTGGTCGCCGCAACCACACATATGACCCTAATTCAAAGGGCTTCCACTCTTTACTTCTCCGATCAGCATACAGAGCCTGCCTTTTCTTAGCTGCATATAAATTTTTCTGTGCTATCTCAGTAGAGTTCCTTATGGCTTGTCTAACCTCACGAGCATACTCTGAATGACTCCGGGGATTTTGCAAAGGCACTCCTAAATCCACCTCTATGGGCATCCTTGGTTCTCGTCCGAAAACTAATTCATAGGGGGAATACCCGGTTGTTTCATGCCGGCTGGTATTATACGCATAAACAGCCTGATCAACATACAAGTCCCAATTTTCAGGATGTTCACTCACGAAAGAAGACAAAATTTCCTGCAATGTCCTATTTTGCCTTTCCACTTGCCCATCCCCTTGTGGATGATATGCAGTCGTACGGGATTTCTTTATTCCCATAATTTGACAAATTTCGTGCATTAAGTTGCTCTCGAAATTTTGTCCCTGATCAGAATGCAATATATCGGGGGGACCGAAACGAGAAAACAACTTTGAGACTAAAAGCCTAGCTACCGTTTGTGCTTTTTGATCTTTAGTTGCAAATGCTTCGCACCATTTAGTAAAATGATCTCCGACAACCAACAAATGTTTATTACCCCTTGATGTCTCTGGAAGTGGGCCCATATAATCAATAGCCCAAAATACGAAGGGTTCACCTACCAAAATGGGCGTAAGTGGAGCTTTCCCTTGGTTAGGTAACAGTTTACTTTGCATACATTCTGAACAAGATGTGATATAGTTTTTCACGCACTCTTGCATTTTTGGCCAAAAGAAGCGTTGCTTAATACGATATAAAGTACGTGTAATTCCCATATGACCCCCAGACGGCCCGGAATGAAGGCTATGTAAAATTTGGCCTACGACAGATTGTGGAACGACAAACACACGTCGGGGCACTTTTTGACCTGTCGAAATAGCTCTAACAAGCAAGCCGTCTGAGAGAAATAACTCATCCCAACAATACCACAAAGTGCGCAAAATTTCGTTTTTCTTCCATACAAAAAGAGGGGGTTTAGGTAGCCGTTGTTCCTTAAGAGCTACAACTATAGCAATGTCCGGGTCATTTAACTGAGCTTGGTGCAAAGTCAACTCAGGTGTCAACTTGACAAAACAAGTAGTATACTTGTCAGACATTTCTTCCACGCTATGCTTATCTTCTGTATCAACTAGCCGAGACAGCGCATCAGCATTAGCATTTTCCCTCCCAGGCCTATGGGATATTTCAAATTCAAACTCCTGTAAACCCATTATCCAGCGTGCTATCCTACCTTTAGGCTCAATTTTATGTAGCCAGGTTAGAGCATTATTATCGGTAACAAGTTTAAATTTCTGGCCAAGTAAATACACCCGAAAGTGTTGAGTAGCAAAAACAACAGCTAAGGCTTCCTTCTCCAAAACCGAATAATTTCTTTCCCTCTCAGTCAAAGCACGACTAGCGTAAGAAATAACACGCTCATCTCCAGAACTATCTTTCTGGGTTAATACAGCTCCCAACCCAACATTTGAAGCATCTGTCTGTAAAATAAATGGTGCATCTAACTGAGGGTAAACAAGTATTGGGGCATTACACAACTGCCGTTTTAATAAGTCAAAAGATCGCTGATGAACCGTTAACCACTGAAATTTGCAACCCTTTTTGGTTAAACTCGTCAATGGGGCCGCAATAGTTGCAAAATTGGGAATAAATTTTCTGTAATACCCAGCCAATCCAAGAAAGGATCTCACTTGTTCCACATTATTTGGGGGACACATTTTTTGAACTGCTTCAATTTTGCTCGGTTCAGTATGAATTCCCTCCGCAGAAACAGTATGACCTAGATAAACAACCTTATCTGCACCAAAAAGACATTTAGAAGCTTTAACTCTTAAGTTTGCCTTTTGTAGTCTCTCTAAAACCAATTCTAAACGCTCGCAGTGTTGATTTATATCTATTGACGGAATAATTATATCGTCAAAATAACACAGACAACTTTCGTAATTTAACCCTGACATTATAATTTTCATGGCTCGGTCAAACGTTGACGGAGCTCCACACAATCCAAAAGGGAGGCGAACGAATTCCCACAATCCTTGAGGAGTAACGAAAGCTGTCTTATGCCTATCTTTCGGGTTGACATCAAGCTGCCAATACCCTGAGCGTAGATCTAAAGTACTAAAGTACTTATAACCCTGAAGAGAGTCTAAAAGGTCATCGACTCGTGGTAGAGGGCGTGCATCTCGCTGAGTGACTGCATTAAGGCGTCTATAGTCAATACAAAATCGATAACTACCGTCTTTCTTCTTAACCATGACAATTGGGGATGCCCATGCACTAGTACTTGGCTTAATAACCCCTTGTTTTAACATATTCGCGATTTGCTGTTGAGCATCTTCCCTGTATGCAAATGGAAGACGTCGGGGGTGCTGGCGAATAGGGGCTGCATTCCCCGTGTCAATAGAATGAGTAACAACAGAAGAATGGCCTAAAGTATCCTCAAATACCTCTGAATACCGGTATAGCACATCCAGAATGGAAGCCTTTTGCTCAGGCAATAGAGAGGAACTTATTGCCGCGGCGAGCTCTTCGTGAGACTTATCACCATTACTAAATGTCGCAGCACTACAACTCGAGGTGCCCAGTTCAACTCCTTGACTAACAAGGGGGCAAAATTCAGCAATCTTTTGCCCTGCTTGAAGCTCAACTTCTTTAGTATGATTATTTAAAAGTCGAACAGGTACAACACGATTGTTAGCAGAGCAAACTACATGAGCAACATGGACTGTGGGAAGGGAGGATGGGTCACAATTCGATGTTATCATACCTACCAAATTTTTGGAACTTCTTGAAATACTGCACTTGATGACAAGTTCTGACATTGGAGGCACAACTATAGCACTAGTTAATTTAACAGGTACTGGGCCTAAAGTAGATGACTGAGATAAAGTTTCGGAAGACCCTTTACTGTTTTCATAAACAGGGGTTAAGGGTAAATTTCCATGTGGACCAGATAAATAATAAATTCTTCTATCATTAACTAGTTGCAATCGATTTGCTTGAATAAAATCCCAACCCAAAATACATTGCAACGGTGATAATATATTATCGCAAACAACAAATCGATGAAAGTAAGAAACACTACTGTCATGTAAAGTAACACTACCCTCAAAAACTCCTGTTATATGCAGGGCTTGACCTGTCACGGAAATGCACCGATCGGAGGCAGTACTGCTGAAAGTTCCTACATCTCCCCCCTCAAGCTTGTTTAACTTTTGTTCTACAATAGCAGCATAAGCAGATTTACTCAAAAAGGACTTTGCAGATCCAGTATCAATTAAAGCTTCGACCTGCAACCCATTTAACAAACACTTAACAAAGGGCTGGGTAAGAGACTGGATAGACTGTTGATTACTACAAACAGTACTGTCTCCAATTATATATAATCCGGGGTGACCATCCCAGCCTTCTATTGGGCCACCCCTTTGGAGTTTAAAGTCGACACAAATCGGTTCGGAATATTTGTTACATTAGCAACACGATTACCTTCCTTAGTATTCGGATTGTCAACGACCCAGTTATTCGCACATTGCGAAGCAATATGTCCCGAGCCATTGCACATCTGGCATTTGAACGAACCATCAATGGGTCCTTGTTCCCTGCTTGTGCGTTTTAGGGGGCAATTTCTTGCTATGTGACCCTCTTTAGAACAAAAGTAACATGTCACACGGCGTACTGGCTGTTGACGTCCAGCAAATTGGGAGGTCGGTTCTTTTTTTTGAACAGTGGCTACGTACAAACTATTGTTCATTTTCAGCTCCTCTACTGCCGCTGTTAGCTTGTCCAGCCGTCCCTCAATAGATGTCGGTGAAGGGACGACATCTGTGGCTGCAAACAAACCAGGGTGAGGTCCATGATTGTCACTTATCGCCAGAAACTGTTTGGAAAAGGAGAGCATATCATCCAACTTCGGGGTCGGGTTATGTTCAAGAAGTTTATAACGAATGGTATTGGGAAATCCCTTCATAAATTGTCGGGATAACAAGGCAGAAGTGGCAGCTTTTTCCAAAGTCGGATCCGCCTTTTTCAGCAATTCCTGAAGAGACCACAGAAAAACACTAGGATCCTCACCACTACGCAAAACACGATCTTCAAATTCTCGAAAATAGCCTTCTCGTCCGACAGCAGGACACAAGGCAGTCTGGAGACTGGTTGTTAAATGTGCAAACGTATCTTTTTCATCATCAGATAATGTATGAAAATACGTAGCCGCCAACCCTCGCAAAAATGCCGGCAGCTTTTGCAACTTTTGGTCGTCTGTCCAGCCATTAGCGGAGGCACAACAATTAAATTGGCGAAGCCAATTCGGGAAATCACCAGAATCAAACTTTTCCGGCAAAATGCTACTCGCCATTGCTTTTACCTCTGTCACCAATTTGTTATGACCGGGCAGAACGGACAACAGAAACAGACGTGTCTCTAGTGCATATTCCGATTCTCTAATCCTCGAACAATCACGGTTTTCCAATTTATTGATAAACGTGACATGTCATCACATGACGAGCACAAGCAATACGTCATTAACTAGCATTGCCTAATGACACCATTAGAAAACTCATGATTCTACAGATGTGCCTTCGAACATGACATCACATGCACACATGCACACGTTACATATCCTTGGAATTAGGTTCTTCAATATTGTCGCTTGTCTGTAAAATTTAAAAATTTCTCCTCAGATTTTTTCTTTTGTACTCGCTAGATTTCTTCTAGTTTCATGACAGACGACTTGCAAGATCACTTTATACACCTCGTCAAAAGCATCTACTTCAAATATTTAACTGCTCGTACGCGAACATACGCCAAAAAAAGTATAAAGACAGTTGATCAAAAGGAACAAACCAAGTATTCGCCATCTGTTCAAATGTTCTGTTTAAAAGTGTTTTGGGACTGCGAAAAAAACGCCATAGACCCTCCAAAGCAGCGACCAGTACCATAACTGTTAATTTCCATAGTTATGCTTTACCTTTCAATTTTTCCTTAAAAGCCAATTATTTTCGTTCGTAGATGTATCAGACATTCTATTTCAATCACTCTAAACTGAATTTTCGCCTGAATTCTTTGCTTAATGTGGCACGTTTCATACAATTGTTTGTACGTCACTTCTCCGTTTTTGCCGTGCAAATGAAATTTCTCCCGGCTTGCTGTTGTCAAAGCTGCCTCGAGTTGACCCTCTAGCGTTCTCTATTCACCTTATCCACGGCCAGTAACGTTATTTCAAGACATATGGCGTGAAACTACAATTTGTTCTGCTTTCCAAAAAACTCAAATAAATAAGAAAATTAATTCTTGATGAAGTTTGCCCATTGCATTATTCTTGAATTAATTTCAGCGATTTTTGAGCCTCAATATTCTTATAGACTATATTCTTAAATGAAAAAGTGTGTAACAGTAATCAACACGAAGATTACGATAAGCAAAAGTCGTTATTATGGTGCTTTTAAAAATAATTTAAGTAAAACAATAATGTCCTAAATTGTGTATGATCATGAAAGTAAGCAAGCCGGAAAAAACGATGGCTCAAGCCCAGAATTAGAAGGAAATGACGCAAGAAGTTTGACATAATTCCAAGAAGAGGATGCAATTCATAGAGATGATGCAATCATTGCAAACTTAAAGACTCATTGCTAACAATGAGCTATTGCGCTACGCAAGCATCCCATAATGCATATTTAGACAGTCTGAAATCAATTATGGTTAATCCGTAGAAGTTTACTGCTTTTGTTTGGATTGTCGCCTGGATAATTTGCCACCCTCGCAAAGGCTCATTGTTAGCAATGAGTCTTTAATGTTGTTCGGAAAGCATAAACACGTCGTTAGCAATATTCTTGGCGGGAAAACATTTTCAAACCGTTCCAAGCCCTATCACGATGTTGCTCGAAGCAGCAGCAAATACTTTGAGTACCAACGAACGTTCACGGCTATTAGCAAACATGGTCGTTTTTTTATAAATGCTACAATGATACAGTACAACAAAATTTTGAAATGGTGATTGAATTTTTATCGATAACAACGAAAATAACGACACCCAAGAGCTGTCGGAAGTCGGGAACGATACTGCAGCAGATTGACTGCAAAATTATCCATGAAGGAAAGAAACAAAGCCAATTTGTTAATCAAAACAAAACTTTGGCGCCTAGCAATCAGTTATATTAAATATGAGATACAAATTGCATAATTTCTTCGTGGCTAGGCCTTGCGTTTGCACAAGGCCCCTTTGGAACTTAATCTATTTTAGGGGCTCCAATATCCGCATAACTGCACCTTTTTTGCCAGGATATTCATTAACCGTGAATATTTTCGGCAAGATCCGTAAGCCGCGGTAATACCGTTTGTTAACCGCAGTCAAGTATGGAAAATATCCACTGATTATACTCGAGCTTAGGCCAAACCCGCCGGACCCTGTTGGATCCGCCAGAAATATAACTGCTGGTCCGTCCCGAGAAGCTTGTGAGTAAACGGGTAAATTACCGCTTTCTTCGTTGTTTCTATGGTTGGAGCGCGTTGCTATAATCTATTTCGTGTTAAGTTGGATAATATTCATTTTGGTTTGGTACATGCAACACCTCAATACTTTTGTTTATTATTTGCTCATATTCTTCTAAAAAATTAATTGAAAAACCAGAATACGAAATGAAATTCTAGTTGGTATGGAGCGCGAATTCTATCAAAGCCTGGCCTACTACAGGGTCCATTGAATCAAAACAATTCAAACCTATGACGCAATTTTCAAGAATTGAGGTATAAAACGCATATGACATAGCTGCATGAATTCTTCTAACATTTCGAAACACCCTAAATATTGTGCCAAGAACACTCAAAGCATCACACTGACTCAGTACACCAAGGTTAAATTATTAATCTACCCTTCCCTTCTGTAAATATGTAAAATACAATGATGCTATTCGAATACATGTATCGTCAAAATGTGCAATAAGATTAAACATTCATATTGTATAATGAATAGTGAGCAGCTATAGGTATTTTACCAAAAAACAGTGCCAGTCGCATCTCCATTTTCTTTCGTCTCTGTTTTTCTCTGCTCTTACAAAAGTCCCCTTTGCTCTGATGTCCCTATGTGAACTGCGTAAAGAACAGGAACCACACTGAACAACTCCAATTATGTATTCTGGCTAATGACCTGAGGTGGTTATCCCCCTGCCTTATATGTTTCTAGTTTCCTTTTCTGTTCCGTGTAAAAGATCTAACTTTCTGTGACAAAGGTATCACACTGACTCGGTACACCAAGGTTATATAAGAAAGGCTTAATACAATGATGCTATTCGAATAGATGTATCGTCATAATATGCAATATTAAGAATATATATTGTATAATTAATAGTGAGCAGCTATAGGTATATTACCTAATAGCAGTGTCAGTCGCATTTCCATTTTCTTCCGTCTCTGTTGTTCTCTGCTCTTTCAGAAGTCTCCTTTGCTCTGACCTTTACTTTACTGGTTAATGACCCGAGGTTATCTCCCTGCCTTATATGTTCCGTTTGAAACCAAAGATTCGAGTATCTTTGTTGAAACAAATAGGATAAGGAGGCTCGAGTTGAAACCGACTTTTGAAAAATGCACTGAAATGCTTCACGATATTTATGCCTATGATTTTATGGGGCACTCGTTATGCTAGCGGTTCATTGGAAGGCCGGTGAGAGGTTGTCGGGGGCTTTAGGTATACCCAAAGAGGAGGCTTCCTCGCGAGCGAAGCGAGCAGACAATTTTTGCAACATTTCAGAATATTTCTTGCGGTCCTTTTTTGCAAACATTTTGCTATTTTTATAGCATGGTTTTTACGTTTGATTAATTCCAGTATTAAAATAGAATTCGTTACTTTTTGGGGCACCATAGACCTTATTTTTTTTTAAATAAAGCAATACTGAAAAACGATTTATCGCACTGTTCTTTTCATCACTTTAACTAAAATCTATTTCTATTATTTCTATTCTTTTTATTCTCTAAAAGCACTTTTTTGCGAAAAAGTGGGGGTACTGGAGCCCCCACAGCCCCCCACCTGGTACCGCCCACGATAAGGCAAATAACGGCAAGGACTTGAAAATGAAATGCAACTGCAACTGTTTCAACCAGAGAAAAATGCTAATGACCAGTGACCACCATAACTTAGAAAATATATTAGAGATTTTTAAGATAACAACTAGACAAAAATAATCTGGAGGTCAAGGTCAAAAGCACAGCAATCAAACTTGGCATGTAGATTATATTGAACCAAATTTGAACCAAAAATAGAACTTTCTCATTTTACTGTCAAATTCCAAATCAACCTGCTGCGCTGCAATCACCAGGACGCTGCGATGTCCTGTTTGTATTGTTTTGTTGAAAAATGGCGGCAACTTGGAAGCTGTTGCCTGTTCAAAGATTTCAGAATTCAAAACTTCAAGAAGAAATCATCTGTTCTCCTATACTTGCAGACTTTGCACGTATTTTAACATGTTCGCAAGACAAAATTCTTGGAGTATGTTTATCTTTTTATGAATTTTTAGCAGTCAGTAACCTATTATGCAAAGCGTGTCTGCATTTTTCTTGACTAGTAAATTTTAGTTAAGGTTAGCTTTTCTTAATTTTTCCTAAAAACTGAGGCTGGATTCTTCTTAATTTGTTCCTAAAATCTTTAGAGTGTAAACAGTGCATTTGCTAGTTCGTTTGCGAGCAAAATAAGTAAGACATTCTTCATTTACCGACAAATTTGAAAAATTAATTGAAAAACTTAAAACGTCCCTACCCTCTTAGCTAGATGGCAAAACTGCTTGTTTTTAGATCAAACATTGTCAGAAAATTACATTTTACGGTAGCTCAGCCTCAAATTGTTCTTTATTTGTTCGTAACTTTTGACCAATTTCGAGGCTCCTGTTCTTATTAAGTTGTTATTATTAAAAAGAGTGTTGTTCAGTTCAGCTTTTTTTATTTTAAATTCTAATGCGTAAATTTATTACAACTAACTTAAAAAGTAAAACGTTTTCTTAACTCAAAATTATACAAGATTTTAATACATTAATAACTAATCAATATAATGTGCAAATACCAAACGAGGAATAAAGGGAATTATTTAAAGGAGGCACTCTCTCAGTAGAAAAACTAATCGAGGAGAGAGCATCATGTATTTATATAAATCTATCATTCATATAGTCAAAAATTGGAAGCAAAAAACACTAAATGGACACTAGCTATAAGTCAATGTTCCCTGCTATAGCCTTCAATTCATGGTTACAGACACAACAAATATTGCTTGAGAAGCTCATTTTTTCTCTGAAAAGTCCTCATATACTGTGGAAATATGTTACCTTTAATTTACTTGTGTATTTGGTTGTTTATTGTTGACGCATAGCAGTCTTTATTTTCTACTTTTTTATTGACTTGTTTCCGCAAGCATTCCATTGTAGTCTATTGAGCAGCCTGCATCCATGGCCTTTCCTTCATTGAAATACACAAAAAGCTGTGACTATAAACAGTGCTTTCAAAGTTTTTGCTGGTTGTAATATTTGTTTCCAATTTTTTTGAATTATCAATTTAGAGAGTAAAGATAAGAAACAATGGACATAACTAAAAAAATACTCTGCTTTCTGCCTCTTGCAGATCACATTTCGGAATGTCAAATTGATCACAGCATTTATTCAGTGGCTTGTTTCTTCATTAGGTTGACCACAAAGACCTTCTTAACATTGCAGTCGCATTATATGGAAACAACTTACCAGAAATGTCAGCAGATACTTTGTTTCCAGTCTTAACAAAGAAAGGAGTCAAAACTTTATTGATACTCAAAGGAAATCTAGCCGGTAACATTTCTTTATTTGCCTGCATAAACAACCCATGTTTTTAGAAAGAAAGCAAAACAGGTGATTGTTCAAAAGTTTTGCCAGACAAACTGATTTCACAAATAATTTAATCTTGACAATCTCTTCATCACAGTAATTACAAAAGGGGCCCAATTCTACGATATTGTAGCCTCTCTTTTGCAAGATTAAGTTTGTCTTTTTACAGAGTAAATTTTTTAAAACCACTTTATTTTTATGCATTATTTTCTTTGACTCTTTTTTGAAGAATTGATGTTATCTAGTTGGAAGTACAAATTGATAGTTGTGGCTTTTTCTATCTAATTAATATTATCAAGGTTTTTGATTAAAATTAAGTTGCATTTTCAGTTTCTGCTTAAATCTCCCTCAACAACTTTAAATTCTTGCTAAAAATGGTCACATCTTGTTTTTAATGGTTCCTGTCTATATAATGTCCTTTAACAGACAAAATATTTTGGAATAATCGTTTTCTTTTATATGTTGTATGTATTTGAGAAAATTAGGTATTTGTGTAGATGCCCATAGGCACAGGTAGACTTAATCAGTATCTGGTATCAGTATCTAATTAAGTAAGTGTCATGCTCTTTTTGCAGAAAACTTTTCATGCTGTACTCGATCTGCTACTAGTGGCAGATATAATGACAAGGGAAATAATGGGAAGCAAGATCTTTCAGAATGTGGAAGCAATGTCTTGGCAGATAAAGATGAAAGTGACCAAACACTTGGAGAGTTTTCTGATATATTTAGCGATAGTTCAGATACTGATGAAGCTTCTTCAGAGGAAAGGTTTGTTTTCTAATGTTTTGCAATATAATTTCATGTTATATATGAATATCAACAACTGAACATATATGTTTCTAAGTATAACCTTTTTATCTATGTTCTGATGTTTTATACTCTAAATAAAAAATGTCAGACGAAAAGCTTTATTATTCTCAAAATGTTTGCTTTTTCAAAAGCCATTTTATGAAACTTTCTTTTTCATGGTTTTCCTTTCTCTAAATTCTTTGACCATATAAATTTAATTTGAACAAATCTTTTAATTGACTAACACAACCACAGAGAAATTCATAGACAGGAGGGGTAAGATACATTTTGGTTGTTGGCTTTCAAGGTTTGTTTAACTCTGAATCCCAGAAAGGTTTTCATTTGTTCATTGTAAGGTTTCCTGGTCATCGATAAATACATTTAGGCCATATGCTTGGCTAAGTTTATCTAAATATCTGTACTGAGAAAGCATTGATCATTTTTTCATATGTTGATAATTTTCTTTTCTATTAGTGACAATGATGCAGATTTTTCTTCAGAGTTTGAGAAATTTGTAGAAAAAGTGAGAGCTAGGAAAGACAAACCTGATGATGGTAAGAAATTGTTTTACTGAGATGCCTTTATGTTTTACAGTATATTGTTTGCAAATTTGACCATCAAGCATCTACATGCTTTTAAGCAAAGTTATGGAAATCCATCATAGTTTAGATTAGAAAAATGCACTATCTTACACTAAAGAATAAAATGCAGTGTTGTGAAGGCAAATATTTGAAAATTTAAACCTTTTAGATTAAACGTTTTGTCAGTTTCAAAGTATTATGTTATATAATTTTTCTTTTATATTTCTAATATTAGTCATTGAAAATGTGCCCTTTTGAGTAGCTGCCCCTGCTGCCTCAAAATGCTTCCGGCGCCCCTGGCTATTGGCCCCCTGACCCGCTTCTGGCTTGCCTACAAGGCAGGCAGTGCAATTTTTGGGTTGAAAAAATGCTAACCCTGAACATAAATGAAATTTTTCTTTGCCTTTTGAAGAAATGTTGGGTACAGTTGGATGTTCTTATTATAATAATATGGATGCCTTGACTATGCTATGCCCCATGGAAAAATTGCATCCTGGTCATGCAAGCTCAGAATTGTATCCATTGCTATTACTGGATGGTAATGTTGAATCATGCTCTTGTCAACGTGCCAGAATTCGTTTAGAACGAATCCTTACCTGCCCTATCAGATTGTGCTTTTATTGTTGATCCCTGGCTTATTTCTATTCATGTAAGCTTGAGTTTGATAAGCCTGATAACAAGACCCTTGTGTAAAAGTAAATAGCGACCCAATTTCTTTTGAAGTTGTGGTCTGCTTATCAGCTCGGTTATCAGGCCTGGGTTTGATGGTTTAGAAATATCAATTTTTGATTGACTGTCAGGTTATGCCATAGGTCAGATGACGTATTGGAGGATGATGAGATTTCAGATATCATCTTTTCGCGATAGTTTTTCGGAAGATTCTCAATTGATGCATCTCAAATTTCCTGTTTCATCTATTTGCAGTAACATCGAGTTTCAGTTTCGAAATCTGATATCTTGTCATCTGTTCGGAAGAAAATCTGTCATTTTCCTAGATAGCTTTTTACTCACAAATTCCTGTTTTGTTTCGAAAGGGTCGCCAAAGCAGTTTCAACTTTGACATTAAATTGGCAAAAGGAACATAATTCTTTTACTTCCATGTTCTTACTGGAACTGACTCCGGAACGACTGAATTTGAAAATAAAGAGTACTGTAAATCGTAAAGTGATTTGAAAAGTATTGGTGCAAATAGATGAAAGAAAATATAGAAACGAAGGAAATCGACGTTATGTTGATATTATTTGACTTTAAAGACTATCAAAAGGAGTCTTATACAATCGAATTAGAACTAATATATTGTCGACAGGTAAATATTGTAAAGGTTTTTGTACGGTCAATTACAAGATTTATCTTACTTTGTACTTTGGAATTCGATTCAATGTGAAATTAATTATATTTCTCGCCAGCTCATTATTTAATATTTTTTACTTTTTGGGCTTATTTTTTTTAAATTGACGATAAAATGACAAAATTCCCATACTGCTGGCCTCCGCTATTAATAATCAAATGTTCAGATGAAAATAAATCCGATTATCTTAAAGTTTTAAAAAAGAGGAGTCTGAAGACAGAAACGTGAAACAAAAAA